CTGGCATGCAGCTCAAAGCGTACAGATACTACGACCCCTCCACCTGTGGCTTTGACTTCAAAGGGGCTCTGGAGGACATTTCTGTAAGTAAAGATTAAAGTTCATTCCTGAAGTTGAATTTATAGATCTTTCGTTTTCAATTTAAGGCAAATTTTTCTTTATTTTTTTTTTAAAGATGCTGGTTATTTTTTGATGTTTGTGATAAAAACTGGACATTTGTAGATGGCTGTTCATACATTTCATACATTTTTCCATCACAGAAAATCCCAGAGAAGAGCGTAATTCTGCTTCATGCATGTGCTCACAACCCCACGGGTGTGGACCCCAGGCCCGAACAGTGGAAAGAGATTGCTGACATTGTCAAGGTGAGTGGAAATGGAGGAATGCTTGGATTAAATGGGTTGCTCTTATTTAGTCTCGTAATAAAAGAAGTAGCATGGAAGGCAAGTTGGACACCAACAGGTAGATTTTATTCTGTTCCTGCAGAAAAGAAACCTGCTGGTGTTCTTCGACATGGCGTATCAGGGCTTCGCTAGCGGCGACATCGACCGTGATGCCTGGGCTGTACGCCACTTCATCGAGCAGGGCAACAACATCCTCCTGTCTCAGTCCTTTGCTAAGAATATGGGCCTGTATGGTCAGTAAAAGCTCCTAATTGCAGCACTTGCGTATATTTTGTCACCACCCACTGGAGAGGCAGGGTTATGGCTTACTGAACACATTGGTTGATTAGGAGTACGTTATTTGAAAGTCTTTTAGCTTTCACTGTGGCTTCTTCATTTTTTGTGCGTAACTCCTGTGCCTGTGGAATAACAGCCTTTAAGAATCCGTACCACATACAGTTTACTCATTCATCTCAACCCTGACAGGTGAGCGTGTGGGAGGCTTCACTGTTGTGTGCAGCGATGCAGAAGAGGCAAAAAGGGTTGAGTCTCAACTTAAGATCCTGATCAGGCCAATTTACTCCAATCCACCAGTGAACGGCGCCAGAATCGCTTCGACCATTCTGAACACACCAGACCTGCGCTCTGTCTGGTAGGAATAACAGCTAGTTTTTTTTTTTATTTGTACCAAACAGATGGATTTTAATTTAAAGGGGATTTGTTTTGTTTTTGTGGCCGTAGGCTGGAGGAAGTCCATGGTATGGCCAACCGCATCATTAAGATGAGAGAACAGCTGGTGGCAGGTTTGAAAAAGCAGGGTTCCTCCCACAACTGGCAGCACGTCATCGACCAGATTGGGATGTTCTGCTTCACGGGGCTCAAACCCGAACAGGTATGCAGACTTGCCTGCTCTAAAGGATGGAAGCAAAAAAAAAAAAAAAAAACCCTATTGTTTCTGCTACTTTTATTTGTGTATTTGTTACATTCGTTATTGAGGGAGGATTTTCTGCCTTCTGTCAAATCTGTGATGAGTCTGTTTACAGTTTGGTTCCTTTTCTTTTTCTGCAGGTTGAGCGTCTGACGAAGGAGTTTTCTGTCTACATGACCAAGGATGGTAGAATTTCCATGGCAGGCGTGTCCTCGGGAAATGTGGGCTACCTGGCCGAGGCGATCCACGCAGTCACCAAGTAGAGAGGAAGAACATCCGAATCAAAGCTGCAGCGTTGAGGAGCGTCATGCGTTACTCCTCCATTCCACCTTTTTAGAGAAGAGCTCGGCCTTTAGTCGTTCCTTTTCTTATCTGGATTTCATAATTAAATTTAACGGTTGTTTATTTTCGGGTTTTTCAGCTTTTTCACTGATCGGGATCCCCTAGCAAAGTAAAAAAAATCAGTTTTTCCTTTTTGAGCTCGATATCCTATTTATTACACGGAGTCATCTGTGAACTATTGTCCTACTAAATGTACACTCTTGACCTGCTGTGGGCTCATTCACCCATTTAAACAACAAACACCTTGAGGTAATCTATAATAGCTTCAGATGCAGGTTGAGATCTCTGTTTCTTTGTGGAAGCTTGTAGGAAAAGCTTTATTTTTTTATTAGATTTATGTAATAATGGTGGTGTAGCACTTAAAACTATGTGTGACAATGTTTAAGTTTGGAATTACTGGATATATAGGTATTTGTCAGGTTATCTATTAGTTTAACCTGATCAGTCATTCAGTTCTTTATTGTTTATTTGTCTTTATTTACAAATGGCTCTTCTCTTATTTTCAGTTCTTTTCCTACAGGTTTTGTAAATCTTATGGTTTCAATCTAAGTGACCACAAGGCAGCAGTCTCAGCTGGTCTTTTGAAAACCCTGAATGCTAAATAAGCACCAAAGTCAAGAGTGAAACAAAAGTAAGCAGAGTACTGAAACACTATATCATTGACTGACTTCTGTTTAATACATTTCCATGTTTTTTAAAATATCATACCAATGAATTTGGATTGTCAACAGCTATGTTTACTGTCTCGTCTCGGAAGGAAAAAGGTCATTCGTTTGCTCAGACGTCTTGTTTCAGTGTTTGCATCTCTTCTTGAAACTGGGAGACACTGATTATAATGTGAGTTTGATTCCCTTTGCTCATATTTCTGGAGCTTTGTCTCTATGCTGGTGCATCCTGTGTGATCTGAAGGTCATGGGTCATGTACACTGCAGAACAAATAAATCATTCGAAGAGTCTTTTTTTGTGTACTTGTTTTTTCACATACTATGTACGTATCACTTCATGCATCAGGGAATTTTGTACAAATTTTCATTCTGATTAGAAGAAACAACTTCACAACGACAAAAATTTAAAAATGAATGAAAATGATACAAAATATCACAATGAGAAAACTAAAATGAAAGGAAAGAGATAATGAATAAAGTGATAATCAGTGGGTCCTGGCAATGGCAGAAATGGTAGAAAGAGCTGAATGAGGAGAGGGTGAGATGAAGGTCATGCTGAATAAAGATTGGATTTTATTTATGATAAAACATTTTTTAGTTTTGTGTCAGTTTTGACATCAAATTCTAGTAGCTCCAATCACTACAAAAATGCATAATTTTATTTGAAAATGTACCTTTCCTTTATACGTTTTTGCATAAACAGGAACTTCAACTCCCAAAGTTCTCTGCGAGCGGAAAATTGACGGTATCGAGTCACGCGAGGAAGAAGATTTCTTCCGGTCCTCCACTTTTAACAAGCTGCCAAAACACATCGGGGGCTCAGTCTTTCCCCCAGATGGAGGTAGAAGGTAATGAAATAGTAATTTTCTGTTATTATTGTTTTATAATTTCTCTTAAAATATGCAATGAAGTTTATTTGTCGTGATTAAATAAATACGCGGTCTGTTTTGAAAAATTATGGTTTCGTTTGTTCTCGCTAGCTTCCGCTGGACAGAGCTGCGATGGTGTTTTCTTCTCTCAAATGAAATGAAATAACAAAATACTCATCTGCCTTTTGTTGAAAAACGATGGGTTTACCACATCCTGCCTTTGTTCCCTTACATTCTCTGTCAGCAGATTCACCTCAACAGTTTAAAATCAGATCCTGTCAGCTAAAATTGCGTTTATTTGTGTTCGCATAGTGACGAAAAACGCAGGTGTGTTTAACTTAGACAGTAACTATAAAAGCTTTTACCACTAAGGTTAATTGTTTTAAAACCACTACACTTTCACTGTTATTTACAAACACTTTGGGGTCTAATCTTTGTCTCGTTACAGGTCAACCATCAGCAGTAAATTGACTTACTGCTACTTGATAAGAACCTCCAGCTGCTTGCTGATCAATCTGCACATTCACTTCTATCTGCATCCAGGTGTCCTCACGCAGACTTTTAGGTTCACTGTACATTTTTCTAATGGCAATTAACACGGATATTGAGGACTGGGGTGGAATGGGCAGCAGTGACTCTGGGGAAAGAGCATGGCTCTTGCAGAGCCCCAGTGTGGATTCGGTCCCGCGCCCCGAGCTGGAGGAGAGAAACCAAAATGTGTCACCCCTGGGAGCAGTTTTCATTGTGGTGAATGCAGCACTAGGAGCAGGTCTGCTGAACTTCCCAGCAGCCTTCAGCATGGCAGGAGGAGTAACTGCAGGAGTGGTTCTTCAGATGGTGAGGACTCATCAGTCCTCCGTTTTGTTCAAGGCTTAATCTCTGCTGCTGTCAGCTGATGCTTTTGTGTTTTTGTTCAAATGTTCTGTTTCTGTGTTTCAGTTTATGTTGATCTTCATCATCAATGGACTTGTAATCCTTGGCTACTGCTCTGTGGTATGTACTCTTTTACTTAGTTTTACTTTTAATTGCAAATGGAACCCTAGACTTCTAACCCGTTTTGTCTGCCTTCATATTTTCTCCCACTTGTGGCTTAAAAGAAAAGATCCATTGTGAAACATTTTTTTCATTCTGTGCATCAAATGCAGAACTTTTCACACAAGTCAGGACTTTCAGTTCCTCAATCACTCAAATGTTCATGTGCTGAAACAAATGGTGGCAATAAAAAAACAGCAAATAGTCACTTTGATTCATTCTCTAGAGATAATTGAATGTGTGCAATGGACACAGAACATATCACCTGAACAATAACATAAAAACAAGGATCCTGCGTCCTAAATTCCTACTTACTCATTAATTAATTTTAAGTTAAATAGTTAACAGCGATGCTCTCCAGAAGAGCATCAATATGGCTGCTGCATGCTAAATAAGAGCAGGCATGCAAAATAAATGAGTGTTATTCCTCAGATGGAATACATTTTATGTCCGGACTGTTTTTTAAGCACCCTGGAAAAACTCCGTTAATGTCCCTCTCATACGGCATGTTAATTACATAACAATCAACGGAAAATAGTGAATGACAAACTTTTTGGTGTAAATTTGTTTGTACATATTAATAAACCATTAAAATCATCTGGCTGGTTTCAGGTCAGTAATGAAGCCACCTATCAGGAGGTTGTTCGAGCCACTTGTGGAAAGGTCACAGGCGTCATATGTGAAGTCGCCATTGCTGTCTACACCTTCGGCACGTGCATCGCTTTCTTCATCGTCATTGGAGACCAGCTTGATCGCTGTGAGTGTATATAACCAACTCATGAGCTGCGTTGGTTTTGGTCACATCAGAGTAAAATTTGTAGAATGACCCTTTAATGGATTAAAATCAGCCTTTCCTCCGAGTTTACATGTTTTGCGTAGCAGCAAGTGAAACATAAAGTATTGTTCTGTCAATGACGAGGGCAAAGAGCATCGAGAATGACCCCACTCAGCATTTCTCTGTCAGTGTGCCTCTCATGTCACTCGGGCGTTCTTTCACCGAGATGCTGACTGAGTGGAAATCCTGATGTCTTTTACTTTATTTAAATTGTGCATGACTTTAATCATGTTTCAGTTTTCATTCTCTGTTCGTCCTCATCATGCTACGTTTCCCAGCCTCCCAAAGTCATGCAACTCTTGTTTACTGCTCCAGTGATCGCTGCAATGGTTCACAGCACAGACAGTGCAGCCGCCGGCCCCTGGTACACCGATAGAAAGTTTACCATCGTCGTTACTGCAGTCCTGGTCATCCTTCCTTTGTCTATCCCCAAAGAGATTGGCTTTCAAAAATATGCCAGGTAACGACATATCTAACAATCGGATCTACTGCTTTTTTAAACTCCGATTTATCATTTTTCTAACTTTTAAACTTTGCTAACCACATCTGCTGTAGTGCCCTTAGTGTGATGGGAACCTGGTACGTGACCATCGTGGTCATTGTGAAATACATCTGGCCGAGCAAAAACATGTCTCCAGATTACGTCTCAACCAGGTAAGTCCTAGCATATATTTCCATCCTGGAGTTTGTAATAAAACAGCAGCACTGTCCGAACCCTCTGCATCAGGCGTATCTTTTTTTTTTTTTTTTTTATGTTTGCAGTTCATCTTCCTGGACTGCAGTTTTTAACGCTATGCCCACCATATGTTTTGGTTTCCAGGTAATCATTTAACACCTTATGATCATACTGCTTGCTGATTAGAGTGTAATAATCACGAGGCGTATCTGATCCCCTCAGTGTCATGTCAGCTGTGTGCCGGTGTTCAACAGCATGAGGAGGAAAGAGATCAAACCGTGGGGAGTTGTGGTCACACTCAGCATGATAATCTGCCTTTTTGTTTACACAGGAACTGGTACGTCACATGTTGTGTTTTATCACTTTGCACAGCTGTGTTAACCTGCCAGATGTTGAAATGACCTGTATTTTGTTATATGTATAAGAATGCAGTGTTATGTTACGGCGAGAGCAGCAGATGCCCGTTTCCTCTTGGTAAATGACAGCTTCATGTGATCAGGTGTCTGTGGCTTCCTGACTTTTGGCTCCACTGTGAGTCAGGATGTGTTGATGTCGTACCCTCCTGATGACGTCGCTGTAGCCATCGCTAGAGCTTTCATCGTCCTCTGCGTGGTGACCTCGTACCCCATTTTACACTTCTGCGGCAGGTAACGTACAGCGAACTAAAAGCTCGGACCATGAAATGCTCCATTTTTACCTTAGAACTGATTTTAGCTAGCAGAAAACCTAGTTTCTTCGGTGGAAATCGTTTCCAAAGCATGCTACTGCCACCACTGTGGCTGACAGTACAGTGTAATTACATTTGAACGCATCACCTTTACGTCGATCATTATAGCAAACGATTTCCATTGTAGTCTCCTCTTTGATGTGTATTTTTCGAGGTTTTGGTGGGTTTTTAGTTTATCCCCACCGAGTCGTGGGTCATATTTCCTTATTTTAGGATAATTTCTTTACTCTGATCACGTTGCTCCTCAAGGGCCGTCATAGAGGGACTTTGGCTTCGTTTCCAAGGGGAACAGGTGGAGGTGTGTGTACGCAGCGAATGCAGGAGAAGGATCCTTCAGACTCTGGTGTGGTTCGTCATCACCCTCGTACTCGCACTCTTTATCCCCGACATTGGCCGGGTGATCTCTCTGATTGGTGGACTGGCAGCCTGTTTCATCTTTGTGTTTCCAGGTAAGGCTGCTCTTAGCATGCGTCATCTTGGATAATTATGCAAATTCATCTTTGCATTTATGACGTTCCTTTAACTCCTCAGGTTTGTGTTTGATGCAAGCTAAGCTTTCAGAGACAGATACCCGATCTGCAAGGTGAGGCTGCTTAATTCTTGACCATCTCTGTTTATGTAGAAAGGTCATAAAGTCATCTAACGCAAGTCCTGTTTGTGTTGTTGCTTCCAGCACCTCAGTGTGTTTTTGCTTTGAAGGTGGATTAGGATAAACCTGAGATTAATATCTTAACGATGCACAACCAAACTTTGGTTTGCTTGCTTGATTCAAGGTTAAGAGTATTTATTTTTAAGTAGGATAATCAGTGAAGCAATAAATAGAAGTTCAATAGCTAAAATATAAACAAATCTGGGACACAAGTTTCATTTTAGGTCTTTTTTTTTCTTACAGCTGGCATGTACTGGTTGGCTTTGGTGTTGCCATGGTTACCCTTGGTGCTTTCATTTTCGGCCTCACTACATCGAACTCCATCTATCAGGATGTTCTCAACTAAAAGGGACGTCTCCTCTACGGCGAGGATGGGCGAGTGCGCAGAACTGTGCTGCTCTTCGGGATCGCAGCATGAGATGAAACACCTCATTACGCTCAACAACAGAGATGAGAGCGGATCGGATCGTCTGCCTCATGCATGCTCGATTCAACCGGGACGTGACTTACAAGTTTTCTTATTTCCTGTGAAGTTTTAGCATGTTACTTTGAGACGGTTTCGTAATTCCTGGGGGATACAGGCTGGCCTATCCCGTTTCCGAACGCTAAAAACTTGTTTCTGTCTCCTTTATTCAAAAGTAGAACTTTGTATAAAAAAAAAAACTTTAATCAATTTGATTTTAAAAATTAAATCATGCCAATTTGTGACATTTTAACAGCATGTTTACCCCAGAGAATGCATGCCGTGTCTCTCACATTCTGGTCTGTAGCTTATTCTAAGGTCTGTATGTAGTTTAGCTTCCGGAGTTAAAATAAAGGGTCATGAAGGAAAACCTAATCTGGGAACTTTTACAAAAATACCTCCCCACTGAATGAAAAGAGGGTGTATGATGTTTTATATGGATTATTCATTATCGTAAGGTTTTTCTTCCTTTAGACTTTTTCAGCCTTTACTGAATCAGTGTGAAACTGAATTTTAGAGTTAAAGAGGCAACAGGTCTTGTCAAAAGACACTAAAGTAAAACCAAAGTCAGATATTTTTGGTATTCTGATTTCTAAACTCATCTGCTTATAACCAAAATCATCATCGTTCATGTGTGATCCAGCGCTTTCTACTTAAGCTCCAAAAGATGGAGTTAAATATCCCATAATTCCTCATCTTTAATCTGTAATGACATCAGCTTGGACAGTTTGTGATTGAAGGGAAACAAAGTTTACATATTTGTGTTTGTCATACAATGCAAACGACTTGATCAAAAGGCATTTTTGTGTCGACAAGAACGCAGTTAATGCAAACTAAGGGAAATGTGGTGCAATTATTTGAATATTTTTGTAATCTGCTAATGTGTTTATAGTTTTTATATATATATACAGATTGTCTTTTCCATTTAGATGCTGCACTGTTTAATTTCTGTTGCTTATTTGCTTTTCTTTTCTTAACTAAAACACTACTCTGCCTTCAGATGTGTGAGCTGCTCTTTTGTTAGTAGTGGATCCTCTAATTGGATATTTAAAGAGAAATGTTTATTTTCTGTTCACAAATACTCATAACAAACAGAAAACATGACAGATTTCACTATTTCCAAACAAAAATGTTTCAATAAAAAGAAAAGAATCAGTTAAGCTTTGCAAAAAATAAAGCTAAGAACATTCAACTTTACATTTACATCAATGCAATTGTTTTAACGACTTAGATGAAGGCTTTAAATGAACGTAATGTTAACGTGTAGATCAGGGGTGTCAAACATGCGAGCCGGATTGTTGTGTAAACTTTATTTTCATACTTTACAATGTAGAGTGAAAATAAACGTATCATTGTGAGCAAGTTTTCTCTGTAATGAGTATAAATAAAACAAAGCTGCGCTCAAGGCTCACACAAGAACTTGAATCACATCCTGAAGTTGGCCGCCACTCAGGATGTGACTTCTGATATTGATGTGCTGGTGAAAGCTAAAAGATGTAAAGTAAAATGAGTCAAATATACTTTAAGTGCTGCATGAAACTGATCTTGCCATGTGATCTGTAAGCTCTTTGAATCACCAAGGAATGTTTTTTTTTGTTTTTTTCTCAAATTTTCAAGTACACTTCAGGTGTTGTACTTGTACTACACTGTCCTCAGGCTCCAGCCTTGTTTTATATTGATTGTATTAAAACAAAGAAAACAATCTGAAGTTTGTTTTTTTTATTTACCGGTCCGGCCCACTTGGGACTAGATTTCCCTCAATGTGGCTCCTGAGCTAAAATGAGTTTGACACCCCTGGTGTAGATGATCTAGACAAAAGCATTTCTACATTCAGTTTGAGTAAACCAAGTAGATGCACCCTTTCATCGCATATTTAACCTCAATGTGATAAAATGTGTTACACACATCAAAATACATATAAAACTGATTTATAACCAGGAAATTATTTAGTTACATTAGTGCAGTCGAACAGTTCCTCTTATTTTTTTAATCATAATCACTATTTCTTTTAATTTCATTTATCCACCTCCAAAAAATAAAATCTTCAACCAATTTAGTTATTTTTTGCTTGTAAAAAACATGTTTAAATTTACTTTAGCCTGAGATGGGCGACACATTTATTTAAGTTTTATAAAAATGATTTTTTAAAGTTTGACAGATACTTTTTATCCAAATAAGCTACAGAATATGGCAGAAGTTCCCTAAAAGTCACCACTCTGCGGTCTAATACCGCCAGGGTAGTCCTTTTATGTGTTCCGTTGTTCCCTGAGAAGAATATAGATGAACTCATGATGATCAGTAGGAACCATTAATTAAGAAGGTCTGGAACATATGGAGTGCTGGACCTGGAGCCCACTGAGGAACCATGTGACCGGCGCCCTGAAACAGATTTAAACAAGTTATTTAATCCTTCTCACACTGCTAATCTGAAACTGGACAAACATATTAAAGCTCACCTTAACAGTCAGAAAGGTGATGTTTCCAAACCGCTGATAGAAACCGGCAACTTGGTCATCGTAGATCCAAGTTTTGTATTTGCTGGTTTCCTAAAACAAGATAGCCAGAGTTTTAACTGATTGTTTAGTGCAAACCAAACCGTTTCAAAAGGATCAGGATCAATAGAAAAAACAACTCGTGTTCTGATGTTCAGCAAAACAGTTTGAAGACAATGAACCTTTTTGTGTTTTAAATCCCCAGGCTCTGACCTGCTCTAAAGTTGACGGCTCTGCGCAAACTTTGCATCCAGGGGAAACTTTTTTTTTTTTAAAGTTTGGGTGACAGAGTCAACCTCAACCACACCTTCCAGGGTAGGAAAAACACATTTTCCATCTTAAGGGTTTGAATCCTAACCCCAAATTCCACTACCTCCGCTCCACTCTGACACGAACGCCGGAGCAAAATCGGTCCCGTTGTAGTCAATCAGAGCAATTCCACTACTGCGGCCGTGCTCCGGCAGTGCGGCGCAGTGCGCCGCCCTCTGTTCCGGCGTCCGGCAAAAATAGAATCAATCCTATTTTTGCCGGAGCACCTCCGCAGTAAATGGACAGAAATCACAACCGCCCAACAGGAAAAGGAGCAAGCACAACTTCCGTTTTTCACAATAAATCGATAAACAAAAGGCGTTTTTTGTTTCATATGCACAGGTTTAACAACTTTTAACAACTATCAATGGCGGCTGAAGTTTAAATGCACAAAAATAAGCCATAAATACAGTTTCCACTATCAAAGTAGTCACACTTTGTTGATCTAAACACTGCTGATCTCTCAACACAAATGATGGGCAGATTAAACAGTTCATGCCGATGCTTCTCCCACACAACGGGTGTTTGGATCTAACTTCCGAGTTTATTGCTCGGACTGTATCGCAAGATCTCGAAAATCCCGCGCATGCTTGTTTGCCCACCTCAGGTCTCCGCACCGGAGCGGAGCCGTTGTAGAGCGGGTACCAGTAAAAATTGAGTTAGGAAGCGAGCGGCTGCGGAAGGCAGGGGCGGACCAGAGCGGAGCAGAGGTAGTGGAATTTGGGGGTTAAGCCTAAATCACCAGGATGGTCACTGTGAGGAATCAAAAACCAAATGTCAGGACTCAAAACTGCTGCTTTTCAATTTTTTTTTTATCTTATCGCAGAAATTTATAGCATTAAAAGGCTCCACAACCCAAGGCTGAGCTTCAAAACTCTTGAGAGTTTAGTAAACAGCTTTTTGAGTTAAAGCTACCTTTATGCCAAGGTCCTCCACAAACCACTGATCTCCCAGGAAGTTGCAGGCCATGTCAGTGTCTCCATTATAGACGAGCGCCCGCAGGCCCATAGAGAGCAGCTTCAGATACACATCCTTCACTGTCCAGTACAGGATGTTGTACTCCTCTCCCACAGCATCACTGCAGCAAACACACACTTTGTTGTCGAATAGCTTTTGTAGATGATTCTACAAAAGCTATATGACAATAAACACAAGTTTGAGGGCAAAACAATTGAAACAGAGATTTAATCTGGAAATATTAGGGTCATTTAAGGTCATTCTGGTCAGAGTGGATTTTAAATTCAGCCTGATGATCAGTAAGATTAAAATTTTCTAAACGCGTTTGTGTACCTGCAGATGTCCCAGGCTGGCAGCGTGGCAGGAATGTGTAAAGCTTTCCTCACGTCGCCTCTGTTCAGCCAGTTGGTCTGAGCCGTGCTGTTGATGCAGGGAGGAACGGCGTTCAGAGAAACCGAGGACAACCTGGGACCTGAATACTACATTTAAAGGATTGTTCGTTTTCCTGGTTAACACATGTGACATCGAGAAGGACGAAACGAGTAGAGTGCGTTTCAGATCACCTTATAAGTGTGCAGGGTTTTCCTGTAATTCCTAAACACAAGAGTCATGGCCTTCTCGTATGTCTTGCTAAATCCTCGGCGGCCCTCGCAATCCAGGTAGAGCGAGTATTCATTAAGACCACTTTGATACACGATACTGAAAGCAATGTTCACCTGAGAGGAGATAGGAATGAGCAGAAAGTGCCAACCAGGTAATGAAACAGAACACACACACACGCACGCACGCACGCACGCACGCACGCACGCACGCACGCACGCACGCACACACACACACACACACACACACACACACACACACAAACACACCTGAATCTTACAGGAGTCAGAACTGCTGTTGTAAAAGTTACAGCCTCCCTTGTTACAGCAGTTATCATTCAGGTCACGCCACAGGCTGCACATAAAAATAAAAACAACTGCATCAGCAACTTGTCATGACTCAGCATTTGATCACATGATTTAAATACCGATATGAAGCACCCACTTCACTGTAAAATTGTAAATATTTCTAATTTGACATTCAAAAGGAGAAACTAGAGATTTAAGTCTGACTGAGTGAGAGGGTTTCAGTCCTAATGAGATATTTGATTGATGGGAACACGTGTTCCACTAAAAGTCAAATCTCACTCTCTCCTGAGTTAAAGACACAACTTTAGGCTGCAAGATGATATCTTTGAAAGTTTGAATTGACCATGGAATTAGCTCATTTTTAGCCAAGAGGTCTGAACAGGGGTTAAACATTTTCAGAATGTCTGCCAAAATTGCACCTTTAAAGAGGTCCCTCACTGACAAACCTTTAGAAATGATCGGCCACTTTAACATGCAGGCTGAACGTGAAAATATTCTCCTACACGCTTCTCCTGCATTAGCATGGTCTCCTTCAAAAAGCAGCTGAAGACTCACTTGTTCAAGCTGGCTTTTGTATGACCTTCTTCACCTCTCTCTCTTTATTCTGCTCTCCCCATCTATTCCACCTTCCTCAGGTTCCACTGATTTCCCTCTTTCCTATTCACTCTCTCTCTTTCTTAACATTTTTTCTTTTAAATCCCAATTGCCTATTGTTGCTCATTTTAAATATATTTTTAAACATTTTCTAAATACTTTTTTATATTTTAACATTTTTTTTTGTTTATGTGAAGCGCCTTGTGATTTTTATCTTGAGAGGCGCTATAGAAATGATATTTTCTTCTTCTTCTGCTTGAAAACAGACGGTGAACTCTAGGATTTGAAAAGCCCGAAAGATCCACGTCACACTGCCACTTGACATTCATAGACTCACCCGTCTTCACTCACGACAGGGAAGGCTGTTGTTGGTTCAGCATCCAGGAAACAGCAAAGAACGCCTCTGCTAGTAGAAGCTAACCATTAGCATTAGCAACTCCACCACACAGCAGAACTCCTTCAGACTTGAGTTATTTGTGGAGATAAAACATCAACATTACAAAGCAAACAGAGTCAGTGGTAGAGTCACGTTTCTGTTAGCCAATCAGAGGCAAGAGGTCCAAATATCAGGAAATAAGACTGCAAATCCTGTCGTCTAATGGCACTTTTTTCTCTGGCTGAATTCTGTGCTGAAACAGGCGCACTAGAGCTTTTTTCCCCAGATTCTGAATTACAAGGCATTCATTCCTACTATAGACCACTGCAAATGTACTAAAAGTATGAGTGAAGGACCTCTTTAAATATTTTGCAATGAGAAAAGTACTGCAAATGTTTAGTTTCAACAATGTACAGAAGTCCAATGGTCAGCTCTAAAGAATGTGCAGAAAACAAAATGCAGGTGATAAAGAAAAGCACCTTAAAAGGATTTCTAGGAAGTCAGACCTATTGAACAAAACATGTTTTAGAAGATTAGAATCTCTAGCTCAATACACAGAGACAAGGACTCTTTACTTTGCTGCAAAAACACAAAAGTTCAGACTAAAACAGATAATTTCTTATTAATCAATACAATAATGTTCTTCCTTTACCTAAAACCAAAGCAAAGCTAGTATGTGTAAAGCATGCCCATAGGCTTGGCTGTCACACAAATACAAAACAGTAAGCAGCTGGTTTTAGCTCAAAGTTAGTGCAAATTACAGCAGTCTGGGCCTTAAGCTGAACAATATAAACAACACACTTACTCTTCTCCAAACAGACCATGGTAATACCCAAAGTAGATCAGAGATTCATCATTGAGAGCAAAACTGCTGAGACCGTTTCCCACTGAAAAGCCCTAAAATGACAAATATCCAAAACATAAACGGAAGTTTAGTTTTAAGCCCGACTGGAAGTACACACCACCTGACAAATGAGCGCGAGTTCAAGCATGAAGCGCCTCACCTGGAAGTTGATCTTGGCCTGTCCGGTGGCCACACGCAGGCTCAGGGTTGGGACATAAATGCCCCCATAACTTTCCCCAAAAATGAAGAACTCGTTCAGAGTGAAGTTTGGGAACTTGACAAAGAAACTCTGAAGGGCTTGGTAATTATCAGCAGCCACCTGAAAACAGGACAGGTTTTTCATTACATCCCGAGCTGTTTGCAAACCTCTGTTTAAATAACAAAGCGAACTTACCTTATCGTCGTCAGTTTTATAATTTTGGTCATCGGAGTAGGAATATCCCACTCCTGCAGGAGACTCCAGATACAACACGTTGGCATATTTGTTCCAGCTGAATTCATTCTCGTACAGAGTGGCTCCATCGTTATTTACCTGAAAAGCAAAGTCAGCATTATTCTTGTCTTTACCCCCCATCCATTGGTGAACACGGGGAGAATGCTCACATGAAACGGTCCATTCTCTGACAAGAACCCATCCAAAGAGCTGCAGCCAGGACCTCCATTAAGCCACAGCACCACAGGGTCTTTGGTCGGGTCTCTCTGAGAAGTCACAAACCTGCACACAACCATTTGGGATCAGCATCCATAATATATGAAACAGCACTGGAAATTATTGTCTTATTTATAGAAACATGTCATTTGGCCCCAGTATTTTATCAACTGATAACAGTCAATAATCCAAATGTTTCTACAAAATAAATAAATAAATAATAAAATAACTTTAAGAGCCTCTACATTAACTGAAGGATTCATATTGATCACGTTGCCTAGGTTGTGTGTAAAGGTGAGCTTTTATTTTGAAATATTCAATAATCTTAGATTGTAATGTCACGAAGTTCGACTGAGACGTATTTGTTTGGTCCTTTAGAAATGTGGCCCTCCATGTTTTAAACGCATGTTTAAAACGCTATATTTAAATTTCAACTTTATTTGCTTTGCATGCTTTTTTCGTATTATTTCGTCATTTAAAACAAATCCTCATTTAGGTTAGTACCTCCTCCAGATTCAAATAAAACTTTAAAAAAATTCCAAATGTGCTCCGCGTGCCACAAGTTTGTGCTTCTTACCAGTAGTGTAGAAACTTGCCCGGGCCTGCCTGCAGATATCCAGACCACTGCCTGTAGCTCGGTTTGAACGTCATACCTGGCAGGTCAGTGACCTCATCGGGAGCATACTGAGCCCGCGAAGTGAGCAGAAAATCGGACAAAAAACATAGCAGAAAAACACCAGCAAGCATCGCTGCAACCTCGCAGAACCAAACCTCAAAAAAGGTGACTACAACTTCCTCTACCGTGCTCAACTTCTACTCTGCCAGAAATGCAATAATCATATGACTGTTGGGCTGCGTCACGTGACGGCCGCCTGACTCTACCCGGAACTATAAATGATGCATTTTGTGTTACCCGCGCAAAAATGGTGACGGTACTTCCTTTTTTCAGATGCCGAAGTAAGATCAGTCAAGTACGTTTGATCCATTTAGCTCATCAAATAACAAAATGGAATAATTAGAAAAAAAAACACCTTTCTACACGAAATTACAGTTACATTTCATTTGAACAAAGTTTTCAGTGTTTGCTAATCATGACTTTATGGTTTTAAACTCATTCAAATGAACTTAGCATAAAAATAATAAGCACATGCAATTATTGAATTAACTGGTTAGTGTTATCTTAATTTTACAATTAAGTAGAAATGTATAACAAATCGATGTTATCTGAAATACTTGTTTTACATCTCACCTTTGTAGATTTTAGTGGCCAGGCCCCTTAGATGTATGAAATTGATTGATATACAACTACATTGGTATAGTTGGCAAATACATATTTACGTTAAATATATCAAATAAATTAATTTCTATGTTTGCTCTCAGCAATTAAAGCATTTTTTATTTTTAAAATATTGCTCATCATTTATTTTAAATAGCCTAATACATTTGGTGGAAATTGTTGTAAGCTTTTTTGGTTGAGAAGACTTTAAATTTAGCTTGTATTTTACAGTTTCCGCTAGATCATTTTTGTTTTAAAACATTTGGACATTTATTCTGAAGGTACGTCTACCGGAAAAAGGACGCGCCTAAAGCGCCAAAATAGAAGAAAACACGCTTTAGTGCTAGCAGTAGGTCCGACAAGTACGTTTAACTTTTTATTTTGATCCAACTGTAAATATACCTGCTGGAAACTCCAAGACATCTTGTTTATTCTCTAAGTGGTGGTCATGACTATGTTCGCTCCACGTTAGCAACTTTTCATCTGAACGTAGATCGAGGTAAAAAAAAAGTTTGCTCTTGTTTTTTTTTTTACATGACAGCTGGCTTATGTACACAGTTTGCAACATTTGAGGGAATGTGACAGTAATTTAAATGGTCCATTCACTGCTACTAAAACAAACTTCGCGGATAAAAATCACTTCCGGTAGCAGCTTTTCAAAATACACCACATTCCTCGTTGAGGCACACTATTTTAATGTGGATAATTTACATAAAAGCATTATAATAACCCACAAGAAATGTAAAAATGATATTATTTACTGGGGGAGAATCCGTTAGCTGTTTTGGAAATTTGATTCGCAGGAAGTTTACACGTTGGTTTGTTTTTCCTTTCTTCCTGGGCAGCAGAATGAATCTAGAAGAAGACAATCAGCAGAGCTCAGAAGAAGAAGAAGAGTTTGTGTTGGAAGAAATTCCCACATATTCGAGGAAAACTAGAAGCCTTCTTACGCTCACTCAGAAGTTTTCCAAGTTACTTGCGGAACACGGGAAGCTGGATCTCAGAACTGTAAGTGAACTCCAGCTCACAGTTCAGGAGCAAAATCTACCCAACCTGCAGCAGCTTTTATATTTATATTTAAATCTCACTTTAAAAGACTGGCTTAAATCCACAACATCATTATGATTGGATACAAACATCTATTTAAAGATAACAAATTCTGCATTTCAGATATTTCTAAATTCAGATGTGTCCTGTTTTAGCATTATGTTGCATTTCAATAATTCAGCAAATCAAAAATGTTCAGTATCAGACAAATAACTGGAATAAATACAGACTTCATAAAGTATCTATCAAACATGTTTATGAATGTGTTTATTATTATTATTTATTTATTTTGTTTCAAAATCTGACCTGCATTCATTTGCAGGTGTGATTTCACACATTTTAAAAGATTTTTTTTAAATTAAATGTTTTCAGTGACTGCTTGATCGCTGATCCCCTCCAACAGTCAGATTATAGACTGCAGTGGCATTTGCAAATGATGAGGGTAAACCTCTTATATGAGTGGCCTGTGATGTCCTTTCAGGCTGCTGAAGTTCTGGCTGTCAGACAGAAACGAAGGATATATGACATCACAAATGTACTGGAGGGTGCAGGTCTTATTGTCAAAATATCCAAGAATATGGTAAAGTTGATGTAAGTTATAAAAATGTACAGATAAGAAAGCAAAACCATTCATGCTTGACTATGCATTTAATGTTTTTTCTTCTTTCTTTTTTTTGCAAGAAATCATGAAGAAAATGCCATAAAGACTGATGTGGATGGGCTGACTTTAATGGAGTCATTACTGGACCAGCAGAAACTTTTGATTGAGGAAAACATCAGGAGTACAAGACAAAACCATAGAGAATATCCTTTTTTGTGTGTATGTTTACATTTGAACACACTGGTTTGAAATATTTGACAAATCTCATGTAATTTTTACTGCTTTAGAAAAAAAATAGCATATTAATGCAAATCTAGTCATTTTCCCCTGCAGATTTATATTTTATTGGTGGCATAGTGAGTAAATTACTCAAACCTGCTTTCCTTAACTCCTCGCTACTCTGATCTATGTGACCGATGAAGATTTGTGCACTTGCTTCAGTGGTAATGTATCATCATATTGTTGACTATTACTATGATGGTTCATGCATTTTTTTTTGCCAGTCTTTGGCACCTCTCTGTGGCGGGTTGTCTAAAAAAACAAACAGGAGATTGTTCATCAAAGATGTTTTGGAAGCATAAACTTTAGGAAAAATGAGTCCACAGGAATGTTGTGATGTAGTGGTACAAAATTTCATGACCCCCATCAAATCAAAATTTATAATCCAGTCTGTTTGCTGGTTCTGATTAATCCCATCTGTGCAATATACAGCGATTCTTGCCGTCTGCACCTGATTCAAACAGCTTTGAAGCACCACCCTCTCCCAGCAGGTGTCTGATATCCTGGAGTGAGCTGGCACCGTTTCCTACTTGTTACCCCGGGTTTCCACGGGAGCCGTCAGCAGCGCGTTACTGCAGCAGCACGTCTTGCTCGCGTAAGCTGCTGCTTGGCCCTTCCCACGAGACGTGAAGCAGCAGGGGAGCAGCTGTCACCGACAGAGCACGAAGTCACACGAGTGACTTCGTCAGTAAACACAACAACAAGCAGGAGAAAACTACAACATGGCTCCAAAATATTTGTGTTTTTATGTTCTGTCCGTTTTATAATCGCCAATACGGACCTGAAAAACAAAGGAGACCGCTAGCTAGGTGATAACTTCTCACGGGGCCGCACAGTTAGTAACCTTTTTTAAAGTAAAGCGACCGGAAGGCAGTACGTTCTTTATTCTGAAAATCTCGGGAGCTTCTCTCCATTTCCGCGTCCGATTTCCTGTCTTTCCTTCCCCAAAAATGTCGAACTTGACCCGTTTCAGAGGCGTCGCGCGTAGGAAATAGAACTGGCGCGTAAAGGCCGCGACATGCTGCTCCTGAGACGCGGCCGACTCGCGCTGCTGCCGGCTGCCGACGGCTCCAGTGGAAAAGGTTCTGTTGACCACAGCGGTTCCTATCAGCAGCTATGACGTGCTGCTGCAGTAACGTGCTGCTGACGGCTCCCGTGGAAAGCCGGGGTTAGTAATGACACAAGATGGGGAGCAGACTGGTGTAGTTCCTTTAAATTCCCTGCAAGCGCTGCTGCAACAACACTGATGGGGAGAGGCATGCAGACCACAGCTGTTTTCTGATGGTGGTGCTGCTGGGGGGGGGGGTTTGATGAGAAGGGAAGTAGAAAAGATAATCTAGGAGAAACGCTCTGATTCAGGTGCAGAGTCATTAATATGAGCTGGCTTGTATTCTCCCTGCAGGAACCAGTAAGTTAGTGGAAGTCAAGTTGCTTCTGTGAACAGACGCATACACAATCTGGATTAAAATCTAGACAAATGTAGCCTTTTCTGCTTTCTGTACAGAAACATTGTCATTTAAAGTAATCTCTGACTCATCAGCGTTACTAAATGAGATGTCATGCTTCTTTCTCATTGATCTCTGCTGATTCATGTGCATGTATAAGAAAAATGAGCTTACAATGGATTTATTGAAATGATCTAGTAAAAGTAAGTCATTTATTTTATTTTTCCTGTTCAGACCGTACTCTTTTAGTTGTTCGAGCACCCCCAGGAACACATCTGGATGTCCCCATTCCCAAAGCTGTAAGTGAATTCCAATTTTTGCTGCTTTTTTAACTATGAGATAAAAGTCATTATGCATATTTCTTTCTTCAGGTACCCTGCAGCCCTGCCAGCTATCAGATCTATTTAAAAAGCATCAGAGGACCCTTAGATGTAGTACTTATTAACAAACGCTCCTTCAGCTCGTTTCCCATCGTCCTTCCTGTCCCACCTTCTAAAGAGTATTTACAATGTGCCAAGTCAGCCATGTCCACTTCAAATGAGAAAGAAAATGGCATTGAGCAACATCAGGCTCTGGCTAATGGCGCCAAAGTTAAACAGGCAACTGGAGAAGACATGCAGCCTCTTTATAAATCATCAAATACAAATCCAGAATCCAACAGAAATGATGAGTCTGCCTGTAAGTATTTATTTATATCTTTATTTTTTGTTGACACGGTGCTGAAAGACATTTTCATAATAGCTGCATGAAACCAAACTCTTTGTCATGTTGCTTTCAGACTGATATTAAACACAATATTTTTTCCAGGTCATTATTCATCAAAAGAGCTGCAGGACCAAATAAATCCACCCAAAGGTAATGTCCTCAGCGATTTATTTAGACAATTTATTGATTATGTTGGCCATCCTATCCAGATAAATATTTAACTTTTTTTGTTTTTCACTTTTTAAAAGCAATCAATGCAAATCTGATCCACCAGCTCTTGTCCGCTAAAGGTAAATGCACTTTATACTTTTAATTTATTCATTTCTAACATACATTTGTATTAATCACATGCCTGCCTTTCCCTTAGGTTATTTCTGCCCCCAGCCAGGTGTCTACATCCCCCTTTAAGATGTGAACGTGTCGGTTTTTATGATGAAAATTTCCTGCCAAATATATGTCACCATCAACTCTTGTATTTTTGTGAAAAATGTTTTTTATGTTTTGAAATATTTTCACTTTGATCAATTAATAAAATATATATTTTTAAATATTGTGGGTGTCTTCTTGTTAGCTTTGCATTATAACAGCAGAGAAGCTCAAGATTGGCAGCAAATATCAGACCATTTCATGATTTTTGAGATGCATTAATTCTTCCCACATGAATGTAGATTTTCTTCAGGTCCATAAAAAGCTGGATGTTTATCTAATAAAATAAGTATGCAGAGTGAAACTGGAATGATGCTGCCTATTAGATCTACTTTTCTTTTATCTAAATGATGCACCCAAAATCAGTTCTTTGGCATTTGTAAAACTAAAACATCTGAATGAACTTTGCAAGTTGCAAAAATAAAAAGTAGGCTTGTAGTAAATATGAAGTATAATGAAATTCAACAACAAAAAATTTACTTTCACAAAATGCAATAACCTCATTTGGAACAAAACTATTAGAAATACTAATATATTTAAAATCTCAGTGAAGCTGTTAATATTTTAAAACCGTGTTTAATAAAAGAAATGTGTAGATCACTTCCTCCTGCTCATGCAGAGTACCCGGATGTCCGAGGTTTCTAAAAGCCCTCTTCCTGCGCTGTTGCTATGGAAACGAATGTTTGACCCTAGACTCACAACCAAATGGAACTACTGACTGAATAATTTTTCTTTCTGCTTCTGAAAAATTCCATTTCCTCACGTTATTTTTGCAGCATAACCAATGGTATGTAATATAAAAATAAATAGCTTTAGTTAGCTTGTTTGCTAGCAGATAGCTAATAGCTAGATGAAGCATTAATTAAACTGACTTTAATATCCAAAGAGCTGGATTACAAAACTTTGGATGCTGTTACACTTTAAAGAAGTGCTGAGTTAATTGTATTTATATGGAAGCCTGTTCCTCTCATAATTATAACCCAGCTATCTCATGTTTATGAGATACTATCCCATAATTATGTGATAGTTAAGTCATAATTATGAGGGGATTTGTCTTAATCAAAGTGGTGGAAATCGGCTTCCATATTTTTGTGCATTTCATTATATTTAGATTTTTTTTCTTTCCAGTCTACACACAAAAAAGGTTCAGTTAAAAAGCCTGCAATTGCAAGACCCCATACTCTGATAAATGGCCTCACCAAGGAGGAGGTATCCAAGGAACAGGTCAGAGCTGAAACATATCCCAAAGTATAGGTGCAAACACCTGTCTGTCTAAGCTGCAGCCTGTAAAACTACGTCAGACAATGAAATTCTGTGTTTCAGATGGAAGAGCACATTGCATATCTTCGAGAGGAGCTGGACAGAGAGAGGGAAGAGAGAAACTATTTCCAACTGGAGAGGGATAAGGTCGCCACCATTCATGAAATCACTGAAAGAAAACTGAAGGAGGTAGAGGCTGAGATAAAAGTTGTACAGAAGGCCACAGAAGACGACAAGGCACGCCATGAAGTAGAGATCAAGGTGAGGGGAACACGCAGATGTCCTGCAACAGGCTTTTACTGAAATATCAGAATTATTCTGTAATAGACCTTTTTTTCAACCAGGTTTATAAGCAGAAGATGAAACACCTCCTGTGTGAACACCAGAACACAATCTCTGAGCTGACAGCAGATCGCTTGTTGTCTGCTGAAGTGATGCAAAAAAAACAGGATCTGCTGGAGGCGGAGCTTCGAAGCAAAGTCAAGGCTGCCATGGTGGACGTGCAAGATCTCGACCACAAAACTCATATTGAGAAACTTGAACTGGTTTGTGTCGTACGCTGTGCTAAATGTTTCTCTCTAAAACAACCACCTTGTTTCAGTTTTTCAGGTTCATTAACAACTTTGAATGAATTGATCTGCACGAACACCAATTTGGCTGATATCATTGCAGGAACACACCAAAAAAATGGCTGCAACTCAAGAAGACTGGGAGAGGCAAATCACAGGTAAATAATCTACTGTTCAAAATTATAACTTTCTGAAATGTGCTGAACAAAAGTTGTTGTCTTTTCATTAGAAGCTGAAGTTAAACATGAGGAATGCTTGCATCTGCAGCAAGAGGAGCTCGACGATGTATTCAAAAGTATGACGAGCAAGCAAGAGCTCAGCTGGAATAATCACATCAACGACCTCAAAGAAATTCACGAGAAAACCCTCAAAGACTTAGCAATGACCTTTAACATTAAAGAAGAGTGTAAAAAGATCGAAAAACTCAAGGTTAAGAACATTTTTTACAGCAAACAGATTTTTGATCATTTAATATTTAACCATCTTAAATGGCTTATTTTTGATTGTCATTGCAAATACCCAACTTTGATTGAGATGTGCTTCAAAATTCCTGATGTGGTTATTTTGGTTTTAATTTTGTTTGATGCTTTTTATTTGGATTCCAGCAAGAAAATAAAGAAAGACTGACTGAACTTGATCAACTTGGCAAGATGCTGTCCATTCAAGAGCAAAGTAACCAACTTCTTTCTGAGCGCTTATCCGAAGTCAAGGAGCAAATTTACAGCGTGGAGGAAAAATTAAAATACACATCATACACTAAGGTTAATGTTGGCGTTTGATTTTTATTTTGTTTGGAGTATCTTTAATTAAAAAAACATTTTTTCCCCCCACAGAGAGCCAGTCACGTACCCGGAATGAAAGCTCTGAAGAAATTAAAAAGAGATTATGATGTTCTCCAACAGAGATTCAGCGAGGTAAACGTTCAACAATGTTCAGATTTACTTACCTCTAATAAAAGACTAAAATTTTTGTGATTGCTTTCATTTCAATCTAGCTCCAGCTGGAAAGAGATGAACTATCCAAGTCTGTCCCTCAGAGAATCCAGAGTGTGCAGGATGAAACAGAGGATGTGATCAGACAGCTGGAGAGCAAGCTGCAGACCCTGGCAGACAGGCTGGAGAAGACCCAGGCTCAGCTCGACACTGTGCTCTCCGCTCCAAACTTGGACCACACGGCCCTCACTGAGGTCATGAACAAAGCCCAGGTACAGTTGAAGCATCTCACCTACATTGCAAGTGTGTTCAAAATAAATACATGTTTTTGTCTGCAGGAAAATAAATGGTGTCCAGCAATGCTTCCATCAAGGATTTAAAATAAAACAGATTGCTAAGGTCAGTGATTTATTATGAAACAAGGATGTTCTGTTTACTTTTATTTTGATATTGATAATGCAAATGTGTGCCCTGTAGGCCCGTAAAGACTTTCTGCTGAAAAAGAGCAAACGGCTCTTTGTCTCATCGAGGATAAACTGTCATCATAAGAAGCAGATCTTAGATTTTAAAAAAAGAAGTCAAGTTTGAAATGATTGTTTATCTTTTCTACCTTTGCATTAAAACTTCTTACATGTTTGTGTGTACTTCCACTTAGATGCATTGTGCATATTCAGTAAATAAAATCTGATGAAATTATTTTTGCCCTCAATGATTTCAAATCCTAAAATCAATTTTGTTTACATTGCCCTCTAAAGTTAGACAAGGAACTACTCAAATACTGACAAAACAGAGATGCTTACACAGTGAGCCTTAAAATAAATCTTTATATTATAACCTGCTTTTGTTTAATCTCATTCTGATCTTTTGTGGCCACTTGCTCTTTGCTTCATAAAAATAGTAAATTTGTACTGATTTCAAAAGTAAAGTTCCTCCTCTGATAGTACAGCTGTTTTACTACGATCGTTGTTTTAATTCGAACTTGTTTGCTTTGAACTTAATACGACAGTAGTAAAGTGGCTCTCACTTGATCGCTTTAGACCAATGTGGTGCACGCATTTAGGAAACAGATTCCAACATGGCGGTGTACTTGGAATCTGACAACAGTAGCAATTATGCTTTTAATACCTAAGGAACGTAGAAATCCGTGAACAGAAATAATTGTTGTGGAGATGTGGAGCTGCCACAAGCGCAAGGTAACAGAGCGATACAATGCTATGGGATACTTTTATTGATCTTACTATGCATTTATCGTGTTTGGACAGTATAATATGTATTTGTACAAACAGAATAATATCAAGAGGCCTTCACAGCACTTTCACTAGTCAGGTCTAATAATAATGTACAGACATGGTATTGCATGACGTTTGCTGCATCATTCAGTCTTCTGTGCTGACTTCCCCAAAATCCAAAGAAACAATGCTTACAAATTCACACAAAACATTTTTACATATTTACAGTAACAGTGAGTGTATTATTCATCACTTTCACTCTCATAGCTGTATGGCAGATGCAGCTTTTTCATCACTGCCTAAGGACACATTTGCACAATTTCTGCACCAGCATAAATCTGCAAGACAGTCCTGCTGATATATAGAAACAAGTTCCTGTCTCACATGTACCTTTCCTGCAACTACAGTTAACTACCTGCATTACACTTTCAGGGGCAGGATTACTAGTCATCCAGATAACTGTCAGATTGAGGTGAGGGGGAACATATTTTTAACTTTCAGAGCTGACCTCATAATGGCTACTTGGTAGTTTGCCCTTTTGGAGTTTTGATACAGGGCATCATTTGTAGAGGGGATGAATAAAGTTCATGATGCTTTCATTTACATTTTGAGCAGCTGGTTGGTCATACAGATGGCGTACATATTTGCAGAGTTTTGCAAAAGTGGATGTTGAAGCTGCTACCCAAATTGGTAAATGCTGTCTATAACCTGTCTATCAACGTTTCTGTCGACAGCATCTCCACAAAAACCAGCTCACATATCTTGCGCTTGCTAGGGAATTGAAACATCAGCTGAGGGAAGTCATGGGTCAACCTCCTCTTCAGTGTCTCTTGTCTGAAAAAGATAAAGTAAAAGTTTGTTATAAGGATTCAAAGAAGAAAATACTCACATTGGCCTTTAATTAATATACTTTCAAACTTTCTAACACTTTCTTATGGGCCATTCTCATCTGTACCGGGTCGGCCCGGGCCGGGCAGCGTAGGTTGTTTACATATCTGGGTGGCCTGGTATTTTTCCGGGCCAACCAAGGCTCATTCTCAGCCCTCTTCTCGAGGGGGTCTGCTTCAGGCCGACCAGGGCCAACACACCCACTGCTGACAGCAAATTCACACCTTCCATTAGAGCAAGCCTCTGATTGGTGGGTAGAATCAGCCCACATGGGCTTAAGGCAAGGATGTGTGGAATCAACCGGGCCAGGCTGGGGCCGACCCGGTACAGATGGGAATGGCCCATAATACTCCCCAGCAGGCTGCAAAGTTACTATACGAACAGATGGTGGGAATGTCGAATAACCCATTTGACCGCGAACTGCAGCAAAACTGTGCGAAAATACTGAAATATTCTGTGGCAGGACTTATTACAGTTACCTGTAGTTTGAAGCATCAACACCTTCATGTTGTTTTACCAGATCTGAAAAGGACCTTGTCAGCTGGCTCATTTACAGCACTTCCTGGTTCACAATCAGTCTCTGGCGAATGGTCCTCTCACAGAAGATCTTGTACCCAGCATCAAATCTGGGCTCATTTCTGAAAACAACACCCAGACAGAAAATACTTTAATTGCTTAATGAAATACATCAAGGGAAATTATGAATACAAATGCAGTAACAAAAACAGCAACAACAATAATTTTAATACAAAACTTACAGTTTATCTGTTGTTGATGTGGATCTAGACAGGAAGGTGGTGTACTCTATAGCAGCATGTGTGGTACCGAACCTCCAGTGACACAATCTTTGTCTTTGATGTGTAACAGAATGCTTTCATCTTGCTTGATCTCAGCACCTTTCAGCAACTGGCCTTCAATTTATAAACAAAATTTCAGTTAGTGCAGGAAAATGATGAGAGCCACTATGTTCGCACATTTCTCTGTGTGTGAGAGAGTGAGTTACCAACCAGCAGAAGATGTTTCAGTCTGAACCAAATGTGCCCTCTGGCGTTTTCCATGAACGATTACGTCCTTCTCAACTTTTTTGCAGATTATGCACAGGGCTGGAAGCACAGGACCAGCAGTAGCAAATGGCAGACCTGATCTAGACCCGTTTTTTCTTTCATCCACGTGTTCCTGTGTTTTCTGATGTCGTCGTCTCTTCACGTGCAACACGTTTCCCAGCTTGCTCCATGCGTCTCTTATCAATAAAACGTCTGTTGCAGGTGGGATGAAAGGCAGCATCATCGGGAATATTCCGAAATTTTGTATCACGGTAACATTGATACACTTCTGCTAACACTCGACTCTCACCAAGCAATCGAAGCCACTTTGTGATGGATTCTCTTAACTATTCCATCGTGTAAATATAATATCCTGTACCTGCTCATGCTTCACGGATGCTATATGCATGTAGCACAATTTTCGTATATGTTTGCTCGTTTTTGTTGGATTTTCAGTTGATTTTTCTTGGTCCTCGCTGCAACTTTCCGAATCCATGCTGGAATGTGTTTACTAAACGCGTGCACCGCATTGGTTCAAAACGGTCACGTGACAATCGCTTCACTACTTTCTCATTCCGCTCCAAACAAACTAGTCCCGAATTAAAACAACGATCGTAATCAACAGGGCAACATTGCCCAGGAGAACTTTTACTTTTGAAACCTGTACAAGTGTATAATTTTTATGAAGCAAAGAGCAAGTAGTCTCAAGAGGTCGGAACGACATTCAATTTCTAAACACATTTTCTCAGTCCATCTTGTGGCCCATCTGCTGTGGACCCCACTGAAGGTCTTGGCTAGAAGATGCCAACAGAGATAACTGTATAAACCCAAAATGTGTTTAATGGATGGTTTGTTTCCCAAACCCAATATTTTATTTTTGATCATTTATATGTGTTTACGAGTGTTTTGTTCGAATTCTCGGTTTAAATGAGATACTTAAGAACACCTGTGAAACTCGTGTAAAACCCTTTAAAATAAAGGGTAGTTGCCTATTGATAGAAAAATTAACTGTAATATAATTTTGTTTGGGTTTTCAACAACACTATTGTCACCACAGGACATTTATAGTGAATCTGATTTTTTTTTTTGTGTGGTACTTTTAGGACATCTACATGATGTGTTACACCTTTGTTCAGATTTATTGGATACCATTGTCTTTCTACTATTTGAAACAGGAACACCAAAAACTTAAATGGACAAAGTTCAGCCAAACATCAAATTTTAAGTTTGGTGCAGGAAATATTTGACAACAACTTGCTTGTCCACACAGGATGGGGAGCTGTGCCTATCTCCAGTAATCTCCGGACAAGCAGGTGGCATATACCCTGGACAGGTTGCCAGTCTATTGCAGTTCATTATCAATGTAATTTGATAATAAAATGGATAAAATTTGCCACATAAGACATTTTATTGACCATCAGGCCCCGATAAGAGAGCTCCAGAGAACCTCAGCCTTTCAAACCAGCTGCAATTTCACTAGAAGTAATTTTTGAGCAAAGTTTATTGGAGATTTTAGTTTCTGATTTAAAATAGGCTTTGATTATTTCTGATTTTGAAGCATTTTATGATACATCATTCAGTTGTATTGTGTGTGGCTGCAACACAAAGCCTGGTTTTCAATGGAGCCTTAATAATTAAGAATAGATGTTTTTGTCCTCATCATTTCTTTTTTTCTGGTTATATGCTGCCATGGGAAATATCTGATGAAAGATGCTCCTTATGAACTCTTTTTTTCAGCCTGCATATTTGGTTGTTCGACTGCTCTGTGGGGACGAAATTAGAAAAATCAGTTTAAATTGCTTTTAGAATATTTAGACCAAATTTAACCAGCGGTCTAATTTGGAATCCTTCCTTTAACTCAAAATACTATTATATATGAACAAACTCATTTTAATAACTACATTTTTGACAGACTAATTTCTTTGACAAAAAAAGGCTGGCATCAAACCTGCTTTCAATCTGTACTGCCATTCTCACCAGCTGATTTCCCTGCTGCTTTGACAGAGTTTCCAGCTGAGAGAGGAGGGACGTATGGGGCAGATCCAGTTTCTCATTGACTATTCCCGTGGTGAATTGAGCCCTGCTGCACTGAGTGATTGCTGTTCCCTGTGGCATCAATAATACAGGAGGAAGTTATTGTCCCTGTGCAGGCCACAGTATCACACAGTGAGCACAGGTGAAGAGAGGGGGTTGTCCTTTCACTCAGCCCTCTAGGGTTTCAGGGCCCCGCAGACTGCAGTCCGACTCCGGGGAGCCAACTCCTGTGCCCTTTGCACAAGGCTTAATTGTAAGTCTGCCCCGATTGAAGGATAAATGTGTCTAAACAGTGACAACCTGCACAGTCCTCCTGACCCGGCCTCTTCGGTAAGACTACACCCCAGACAAGCCGAGTGTCACAAGACGAGTTCCAGCTCAATAAAGAGGTAGTCAGCAGGAGACACCAGACAGTTTGGGAACAGGATGGATGTGCTGGGAGTGATTAACATGATCCAGATTTTCACCTTGTTTAAACACGTAGAGTCACGACCTTCCTGCAGCCTCTCCATGCCCCCAAACAAGAACAGTTTTAAAAATCTGCTAGACACTGTTATGTTTTTGTCAAAGACAAATAACACGCTGTGTGGTGGGTTTTAAAAAGATGAAGCCACGCTGATGAGAACAGCAAGTGATCCAAACAACCTAGACAGAAAAGACAGAGTGGTGGTGGGAGGAGTGCAGGAAGAGAGTGAAAGGTAGAGAAAGTCAGAGCGGTGGTGAAATCGAGACCCACTCAGGAGGAGGTCAGCGTAGACGGCAGCAAGTTTAAGGAGATGGACGACAACTGTTGGTGAGTTGGTGTTTTTACCTCCTTGTTGTTATAAATTAGATATTTAAATGTATCTGCAGATTAATGATTCTCAATGTGAGCTGTGGGTGTTTAACCTTTTACTTAACAACCTCTTTTCCAGCCTTTTGGGATCATTTACTTATAGTTTGTAAAATTTAATTACATTACAGATGACTGGTTTGGGAAGCCGCTCGGTGCTGGTGATAAGAGGATGTGAGAGCCAATCATCAAGGTTTAATATCTCTGGGGCAGTGCTTTAACCCATCTCATTATCTATGAAGTATCACTTTGTGGATTTTAAATAGAGTATTTTTTAATGAACAGGGATGAAGGAAAGATGTGACCCCAGTTATCCACTAAGCACGCTGGCATGAGATGATGATGGTAAAGAACAGGTCAGGAATGGCCTCCCTTCATATCATAGGTGTTCTCATTTGTTTGGTTTTACTTGGGAACGGAACACCTGAGAGGACAGGTGAGTACATCACAAAAAAGGCCCTAAATAGGATGTTAGCTGATTTCTTCCCCCTTCTACATTTCAACTTAAACTGTTGCCGACCATTCTGTTTCAGAAGGTGATAAAGTCAACCATAGAGAGGCTATTCTCAAGGAGATCTTTTCTAAATGGAGTAAAGGCGCTGGCTTGAGTCCACACCAACCTTCAGCTGAAACAAACAAGGACCAGTCAACGCAGAGTTGGATGAGGAATATTCTGGGAGGCATAAAGACGCTGTTTCCTAACAAGAACTTGCCTTCATTAAACAAACCAATAGATAGACACCGCCTCTCTGGATTTCTCTATAACATTTCTCTGTACCTCCAAGAGATGGGTGCCGAGCTGGAGGAAGTGCCTGCAGAGGGAGACGAGGAGCAGCTGTGGGGGAAGTTGCTGGAGTTTTTTCTCCAGTCTGAGGGAAGTGCTGCGCCGAACCAGTGGAACGGCCATGCACCTCCCCGCCCAAGCATCAAAGTGCAGGACTGGTTTTTGTCCCTGAGAGGTAGCCCACACTGGGACTGGCTCCTGGGGCTGTTGCAGAGTCTCATCACTCTGTCTGAGCGCCAACCTCAAAAACCCATTTTGGCTTTCCTGTCTGAGAACTGGAGGACAGTGAGTGCTGTGCTAGAAGCCACGCTGCAGGCTCTAATTAGTGGGACGTATGGCCAGGCCAGTGCCGGCCTGCAGGGCTTCATTTGCGCCCTGAAAGGTCGCAACGATTGCACTTTCAGTGTCAGCTGGCTTCAGCAAGTGCTGCAGTTCTTGGAAACGCGTAGCTGGAAGCCTGTGGTCAGTTTGCACCCAGCAGGGGAAGCTGCTGGACCCAGTAAGAGCCCATTTGGGCGTTTCAGACCCTTCAGCATGCCCCCTGAAGCAATGAGACAGGACGTGTCTTCTGCTAACTCTTCTGTAAAAAACGCAATGTCCACAGAGGATGAGCCGGACTCCATGCAAAGCCTTCTGCTGCAGGCTTTGTCCCGTTCAGGTGGAGGAGAGCGAGGGAGCAGCTTTACTCAGAAGAACTTAGCTCTTGTGCAGAGTTTAGACGGGCTGAGGCGGGGCCTTCTGCACAGGGTGGGCAGCTCTGTCTACGGCAACCTGAGGAAGAAAGTGTCACAAGTTACCATGGCTTTGCTTGATGATGTCAGCAGCCTGGTGGATGCTCCACAAGCCAACTCTGGAGGCCAGTGCTCAGTCGGTGAGTATCGGGGGGGGGGGGGGGGGGGGGGGGGGGGGGGGCTTTTGGTGCTCATACGGAAGTAAAACATTTTGCTGGCATCAGTTTGTTGAAGGAAGAAACCCCAGCACTGGTCACTGAAAGAAACCTGAACTGACAATATTAAGAATGACTAAATTAGTTATAAAATGACTGAAAAAAAATTAGTGGATCGCTTTTGTGGTTCAGATTATTTTTATGAAATTGGTCAGAACAAAACAGTCCTTGACTTATTTACATGTGTTTTGAAGTCATTATCCCGTTTTGGGACTCTTCACCTAAAAACGAAACCAAGCTGTCTTATGGGCAGAACATTTCCCTCCAGAATGCCCAACCATGGACCAGATATACCAGAGCAGCCCCAGACCATGACCTAGTCTCCTCCGTGTTTCAGAGTTGGTCCTGCGTTCTTTTCTTTGTATTCATTTATATGTTTGTGAACGCGGAGCTGATTTGACCTGCAGAAAAGCTTTACCTCCCAGAAGCGTGTCAGCAAGCATTTTGGTAAATTACAGTTTTGCATTGAAAGATTTGACATTTTTCTAAGCAGTCATTAAATATGTTCAAAGTATTTCAATTCTGGTTTTTTTTCTCTCTCTTTAACTGAATGATACCGACAGCTCTGTACTGACTGTGTTAACTTACTCTTATTCATAGACTTTACTCCCGTCAAGCACTAATTATTATTGTTTATTGACTGTTTTTAAGTTTTATAAGTTAAAGAGTTTCATCGGCGAGGCTCGGGTTTCTCCAGAGGGAACGTGACAGTGACTAACACTGCTTTAAAATCTTTATCATCATCAGTGAAAGCTTCTTTTGTTGGCTCAGTTAATCTCTTTATCCGCTCATTGATGTCAGTAACTTTATATCTTGGCCATTGTCAGCTGAGCCGTTGCATCCAGCTTTTATCCATCACTCACTCTTTGATTTCAAAAAATAATTTCCCTCTCATTTTTCTCTTTGAAGGTGACCTGAGACACCTGATCTTATGGTAAGAGGACGGGATTGACTATTAATGAACTTGGCAGTAAAACACTGTAGATGAAGCAGATTTCAATTTAATTAATTGCTTTTTTTTGTGCTTTTTGTAGGGGAGTTAGACATAATGTGATGTGGAACACACAGGCTTTGGGCTCTCAGGGCCTCCCGGGCTCCCTCCCGTTTCTCTCCTGCCCCTCCAACCAGGGAGAGACGCTACAGTCACAGAAACCCTCGACATACTCAAAAACAGCTCCTTCCTCACAGAAACCCTTCAGGCAAAACCAAATTCGTGAACTCTCGAATGCGCCTCGCAGCCAGGTCAGAGATGGGGACAGGAAGCAGAAAGAGCAGGAGATCTCTACCTCCGCAGAAATTCTGGAGGCGGCGTGTAATGAATCCATTCCAGGCCTGACCGGTGTCTCTAACTTCACCGTATTCCTTTACTGTAAGCTGTTTGAAGGGGAGAACGGGCCGGCTGATCCTGCCATGGGTCACATGGGACTGGACCTGCATGAGACGTGCTCTGATGCAGCATGGTACCTGTCTGCTGCTGAGGATGACTTCTTCTGGGTTCACGTCTGCAGCGAGTTCTTTGCCCAGGAGTTCAACAACACGGTGTGTGCCAACTCATCCTTCTGGCTGCAGAGAGCTCAACAGGTAAACCAAACATTCTTAATAAGCAAGAGAACTAGTGTAAATACAATTTTACATATTTTAAAATCTAAAGTTCATCAAAAACATGTCAACCAGATATTGTTTTAAATTATTTTCAGGCTGCAGCGATAAAGGATTACCACTTTTTCAACCAGAGCATAGACAGCCTGTGTGTGCAGCTTTCAGACGAAGAACCGGTGAGTCCAGGACTCAGCGAGACTTGTCTGTCTCAGTTGGGGAGCAGGTCACTCAACGCCGAGGCTTTCAGAAACTGCTTCCTGCCTAACAACTCGGTCCTGGTCTCAGCTCTGTGTGACTCACAGCAGCATCTGCCGGAGGGCAGCTGGGCAGCAGCATACTGCTCAAAGATGCACAACCTCTCCCTGGGTGACCCCTCCACGGACACTTGTCAATACACAAAGTGGTCAGTGCAACATTTCACCAACTCCACCCTCCTGAAGCTCTGTGGACGAGCACAAGGACTGAGAGAGCACGTTTGTCTGAACGCCACGCTCTACCATCAACTTGTGAAGTTAAAGCCTCGCCTTGCAGACGTTTGTGCAGACCTTCAAGCAGAACAGGAAAGCAAGAAGTGCTTTCTGCAGAGGTTCTTCGACATGCTCCCAGCACGGTATGAGTTTGACACATCCCAGCTGTGTGTGGAACCAGCTCCGCTGCTGGTGGACCTCCTGCACAAGCTGAGCGTGTGCGAGATGGAGGGAGGAGAGCGAGAGGGGTTTTTGGTGGCGATGGGATACTTGCTGCGTGTGTTGGACTTTGTGGTGGGGCTCTCCTCTGGGCTGGATGAAGGGGAACGAGAGGCGAGACAGGGTCTGGGCCAAGCCATCCTCCTCTCCAGTCTGCTTGATAACGCATCCTGGACCATGCTGCAGCCCGAAGCCTCCACCAGCGTCCTGCACACCGTGGGAGTCTTCCTGCGTAAAGAGCAGAACGCCACTTTGAAAGAAGACCTGCTGAGCTGCTTCAGTGTAAGATCCAGATGTAAAGTGACACAAACACTTTTTCTTTACTCTAACACAAATATGGAGTACTGTAAATAACCTGTTTCTGCTGCGACTTCAGCCCGTCCTGTGGGACCTCATCCAGCAGAACGATAACTCCTCCACTCTCAGAGTTCTGCTGCAGGTACTCGCGTGTGCCTGTGCAGCCGTGTTTATGGTTTACAGAAGCGATCAGCTCCCTGAACATGTTATTTGTGTCTTTTTCTCCAGGAGTACTTTCAAATGCCCAGAGACCGGATTCGCTCTTTAGTGATGTCTGCTGAAAAAGATGCCGTGAAGAGATTTCTCTCCCACATGCATCAAAGTTGGGACCAGCTTCAAGTAGAAACCAGCCAGGTTACACCTTCAGTTCCCATCAGAACTAATCGCGTCTTCGAATTTGCTGGTTCTGAGCAACATTACACCTCACACCATTCACCGTCTCATAGTTACACCATACATTTAGTGTTTAAAGTTAGTCTAGTTTAATTTGTTTAGTAATACATTTTTAAACTTTTAAACTTAACTCTCTCTCTTCTGTTGTCTCTGAGTGAATACGAAGCTGTTATCTAATCCCTGCATTAAAAAGTTCCAATCTTCTGGTTTAAAATAACCTCACAGATCCGTAAGGTTGATTTCATATTTCCTATGGAATCCTACGCCTTCTGGCTTATTAAATAACATGTAATTTAAATCATTACAAGTATAAAATATACCTCTCAGAATATTTAGAGACTCTTCATTTTGTTTAATTACAGCCAAATCATTTTAGGATGTGAGACGAGGCTCTGTTGGGAGGGAGGATTCATAACATGGTTTTTAGTTCTTTTGGTTGCAAATCTGCCTGATTTGTGTGAAAGTGGAGACCTGTGCATAACTAATGAGAGACCGCTTCTTCTCTCATCCATCAGGCTTCTCAACAAGAGCTGCAGGCCATGGAAACAATGACGTCTGCTTTCATCCACAAGTTCCCCAGAGTGACCCCAGAGCTGTTTGTTGACCTTTCTCAGTTCATCCCTTTCATGTCTGTCTCTGACATCATGAGCTTCCCCGCCTCCCTGATTGTCAACGACAGTGTGTGAGTTTCTGACAACGACGATTTTAAAACGCCCCCTCCTCTCTGACGGTAACGGTTTCCGTGTCGCTCCTCAGACTGACGGCCATTCGTGACCACAGCTCAGAAATGAAGTTGCAGCAGAAGAAGGCTTTTGTAAAGCGGCTGCTGCAGTCGAGCGTGGTGGGCGATGTCCCCACATGGCCACCGTACTTCCTCAGCTCCATCCTCCCTCTTCTGCCTTACCTCCCTGTCAGTCATTTTCGGCAGCTGACGTCACAGCAGGTTAGAAATCATTTAATTGCAATGATTAGTAGAAAATAATGAAACAAACGTGGAAAATCAGGATGAAAATAGAAAAGAGGATGATGGCAGAGCAGAATTTTTTGTCTTTTTTTTTTGATAGTTTCACCCTTCTGGTGAAAAAGATGTTTCTCTTAATGTTCCAGTAGGTGAGGGGGAATTTTGTTTTTTATTTACTTCGATTCCCTCCATAGCTTGCTCCTCTGATGGAGTTGCTAGGCAACAGCAGCCTGGACGGTGTGAGGGGGCGCCACGTGCTTCGAACCCTTCTCAGTAAGAGAAAGAACCTGACCGGTGATGACCTGCTGAGGTGGGACTGAGATGCTTGATAATTACTCTTGATGACTGGAGGTCACTTGAGAGAACGTACAACATGAATAATCATTGGTAACGGCAGGGAAGCAAGCTGCAGACTCTGAAGGTTTCCTCCTATACAACAAAAATCATGTCTAATCCTTCTTAATGCTGCACATATGACAGCTATCCGTGTGTTGCTCTGTTAGTTCTGCTTTGAGCAGGGATTAGGGCATGAGTAAACTATGAAATTGTGTAAATAAACATACGTTTGAAGTTCATTTTAATTTGCTGGATAAAGGGATAAAGAATGAGGTCATTTGCAGATTAGGAGTTCTTGCGTGCTACATGGATCCAGCAGACTTGGGTTTGTATCTCCACGACTCAGCTATGTCCTCTGCTCTCTGGCAGCAGCTGTCTCACTGTATTTCCAAGGGGCTCATCAGTGCCAGTGGCAGGGTGAGAGCTGCAAAATTACCCATCAGAAATTATAGCTTGTTTTTTGTGGGAGTTGTCGTAAAATGCCTGACTGGCTCTGGTTTATCTGTGTTTCGTGGCTTCTAGCTGTCGTCCTGGTTGATACCAGCGGTTTCAGCCAAGCTGAACATCAGCAGCATGGCTTCTTCAGACCTGTCTGCTCTTGGCGGTCTGCTACCTCATTTAGGAACCTCCTTCCTGCTGTCTCTGCCTTCACAACAGCTGCAGGAAATCCTGTCAGAACCGGGACTTCACAGATACTCACCAGCGCAGGTCAGCTGGGAGTGAAGCTGTTTTTTTTGAACATGTCTACTTCTGTGCCTTTTTTTGTTTTCTTTGTTGCTTTAACTCTAAATAGTTAAAACACTCATAAAGGTTGCATTGAGCCTCGATGCATCATGCAGTCAGTCAGTCAATCAAAGAGTAGTTGAATAATATATAAATCTGTCTTCATATGTGAATTATTTTGGGGTTTGGTTGCATAAATATTTTCTTACCTGCATCTTCTCAGGCGTTTCAGATTTTATCCAAGATAACGGAGAACTCTAATGTAAGTTTCTCAAACATCTGCTCTAAATTTTGCCCATCTGCAGCTTCATCATCTCTGTGTTACTCTCACTCCGCCAGCTCACCGTGGATGGACTGTGTAGCCTGAAGCGGCTACACGCTGGTCTCTTTCCTGCAGTGCTCTCAGCCCTCCAGTGGTCCGACATCAGTCAAGAGGCTCACTGTCTGTGCTGGAGGGCGATGCTGACTGATCTGAAGCCTGGCCACAGAGCCATGCTATACAGTGCGGTGCAGGAGGTGATGGTGCGCCACTTTACTTCACTTTAGTTCACAAAAATCATTTGCTGCAGCAAATTTGGAGTTGCATGGTGAATAAAGGTTCAGCAACTACTCAGCTTCAATCTGTGTAATTTGGAAACACGGAAGCCCTTAACTTCCTATTTATTGTCTGGTTGTTTGCAGGCTCTGCACAGAGACTCAAGGAACATCACTCAGCAGGTAAACTGTCTGTTTCCTTTTGTTCCGTTGAGAAAGCTGATGCAGACCATGAGCGGCGAAACCACTTGGAGAGGAATTGGCACTTACAGAGACGCGCAGTGGTCGCCACAGCAGGTGCACATTCTCCTATAATCTCATATTTCCTCGATTTGACAGTTCCCTCGTTCGTTTACTGAAGACAAAAAATGTTAGCAGCTTTTGCTCCCATTAATCTCCAAACCATTGGACATGCTTCAGATGAGCCTTTCAGGATGTTAAAACTCCATTCACATCATCTGCCATCAAGCTAATTACTTTGGATGTAGTACAATGGCGGGCAGGAGTGTAGCATAAATTAATAATGGCTACCTTAAAGGGATTTTTATCACAGCCAAGAATAAATGAGCCTGCTTTCACCACCTGTTCTCAGCCTAACAAGACCTGAAATTAATCTATGAAGCTTGACCTTTTCACTTGATGCACTGTCATTGGACAATATATCAATCATTCTGTTCAAGATTATAACTAAATGCTTCAATGTTCAATATTGATTTCTCAATCAAGTGATTTCTGTGTTGGCCCTGAAGCCAGTGCACAATATAATCTAATTTACTGTTTAACTGGAATTGATTTGTCTCCTCACTGAACATGTTTGGGGCCTCTTTAGTAGTTTAGACACATCTAAAGCAGCCCATCTGTTTATTAAGTCTGAAATGGTGTTTCACTAAAAAATCAAATTCCTGACAGGCCTAAAAGGTATCTCAGTGATGTTGTAAAAGGCAATAAGAAAAAAAAAATCCACTTTTTAAACCCAGACATCATATCTGGTTGTAGCACTCTTAGCAGCAATCCAGCATTTGTGATAACTGCTGGTGAGTCTTAGCCTGGCAAGCCAGACTAAATAAATGTATTATTTATTATTAAATCCTGCAAAGCAAGAATTTGGTCTAGTTCACTAGGCTAGGTGAGTCTCACATCTCTGTGGGGGAACTGTGTCCCACTTTTCTTTGCTAAATTCTTTTAATTCAGCCACACTGCAGGGGTTTCCAGCATGAGTGACCTGTTTAAGGTCAAAGGTCAGGCACTCTCTCATTCAGGATGTTCTGGGAAAGTGCAAAATTTGTGGTTTCATCAGTTAAAGCACGTCATTCATGTCCTGTAGCAGCAAAGCAGCCACAGACCATCACACTTCCACCACCATGTTTGACTATGATGTTCTGAAATAACAGTTGATCTTTTTCCTCATCATGACAGAGATGATTTTACCCAAAGTCTTGAGATTACTGAGATGTTTCTGGAGGAATTTGATAAAGGTCTTTGAGGGTTTTTGGTCACCATAACTCCTCTATGCTGCCATTTTTACCCCTTTTCTGTCTTTCCTAGAGATGAATCATGAACTCAGACTTTAGCTATTTTAACCAAAAGAAGCCTGCAGTACTTTAGATGTTTATCTTGGTTATTTTGGCCTTCCATTTCTTCAGAATGAGGAAGGATGTGTTGCTTTTTGAGATCTTTTTGCTTACTTCATGTTGTCAGACAAGGTTTATTGAAGTGATTTTGAAATTTTACCAGTCTGACAAATATTAGGCCTCGGTGCTGTCAGTGCAATTTAACTCAGCTTCTCCAATAATGATGTTAATGGCAGGTTATTTGTGATTTTACATGAATGAGACAATTGATTTGGACAACTTTTATTCTTAAATAAATGAATTTGATTACAGTATTTTGTATTTATTTGGGTTATATTTGTCTGGTAGTGAAATTTGTTTCCTGTTTGGAAATATTTAAGTGTGACCAGAAAAAAAAAGCAAAAGCAGAAGAAATCTACGAAGGCAAATACTTTTTCACATCACAGCCTTTCATTTGAAAATGAAACTGTAAGGTTGCTTTAAAATCAAAACTACAACCTTTTTCATTTATTTATTTATTTATTTTTATTATTTTAATCTTACATTTTCTCCTCCGTCTGCAGGCTCAGTTTCTGTTCAAAAAGATCCGTGAATATAAAAATATCACCAGCAAAGAACTCCGGTAACTTCATTTGCTCTGTGTGTGTGTGTGTGTGTGTGTGTGTGTGTGTTTTTTTTACTCACTACTCTCTGCAAAGTAAGCAGTCATTTTCCAGCTCAGAAACTGTCACCAATCATTAACGATCTCTCCTTATGGTGCAGATATCTGGGTGTTATCGCTGGTGGGGTAAGCTGTGACGTTCTGAGGCTCTGGATAAACAGCACAGGTTTTACAGAGCTGCTTCAAACTTTGAGTGAACTTCCTGGAGTTATGAGACCTGCTCTGGTGGGACAAACATCCTCAAGCTTCTCATCACACCTTCTCATACAGAAAACAATGTCTTAAGCAGCTCAGACGCATTTTTCTGTGTGTCTCTAGAGAAAATGTATTGTAGAAATACTGAGGAAACAAGCCGACTTGGATCTTGGTGCTTTAAGTTCCGGGTTTGCAGCAACGTTACCGTAAGTATCTTTTAATTTTGAATACTTCTTCGATGTTGACTTCATTTAACCCTGTTCTTCTTTCTTTTGCAGAGTGACGATGATAGAAAACCTCCCTAACACATCCATTAGAGCCATTCTGAGCTACATTCAGTCACACTTTGTCGAGTTCCTGAAACTACCACGCTATAAACAGACTAATTTAGCTGAGAAGGCCATAGCCGAGCTGGTAAAGCACTAGCATTTACTATATTACCGCTCTGGTGTGCAGAAGATAATACACTGTGAAATGTTTTATGTGATAAGTGCAATCAGATGCATGAATCCCACGTTCTCAAGTCTTTATGGAGGCTTTTTATGGCAATTTGGGGCAAAAAGGTCTTTTTGTTACCTTAAAAGGCAGAAAAAAGCTAAATTCATCTATTATTAAATTGATGGAGAAAGAGTCTTTCTACTCCTACAGGTGACATAATAAAAGGGTTAATTCTTTTTATTCTACCCCTGTACATGTCATTGTTCAGGGACCTTCTTTGGCTAAGGGGAAGGTTGATGGGAACCTTCTGGACAACCTGGGCCCTCTTTTGCCTTTCCTGGACAGGGACAGTCTGGCTCAGGTGGACAGACGAGCGCTGGCTCTGCGGCTGGAAGACATGAGGATGTTCTGCATCCCTAAAGAGGCTCTCAGGGACATTAGTGGCATTCTCACACAGAAAGAGCTGTTCGGGTAAAGCAGGAGAACTTTGAAAAGGCATAACAATGAATGCATGCAAACAAACAACAGAAACCGAAAATGTGGGAACACTTAGAGTATTTTCTTCTTCAAATGAAACCAGCCTGATCAGGAAATATTGAAAATGATCAAGACAAATATCAGAATTAGAAATTAAGATTTTAAAATTGTTTCTTTAAAATGTGCTTTTATGAACAAACAAAAAAATAATAATAAAAAATCAAATGGAAACTACAAATTGGTTTTTGCAGCAGCTCCATTCACAGACTGATGGATCTCCAAGGGAATTTCTCTCTCTTGGTCCTTTTTAAGCTGGTAGATAAAATAACCTGAGTAATAAAATATTCCTTTTAGCTACTTTGTTGGCACGGTGTATTTCTTAGCACTCCAGCACAACTGTTGCATGGTGGCAGTCCACCAGAAGGGATGCAGGGAGCTAGTGCGTATCTCCATCAGCCAATTAGAAGTGGAGGACACCCTGGACAGGTTTCCAGTTCATCACAGGGCGAGACAAAGACAGAAAATACACAACTAGTCACACTCTCACACTTAGGGACAATTGAGAGTTATTTTGACCTCAGGAAGCACCCAGAGATTGCTTACGCATGCATGGAGAGAAGGTGCTTACTCCATGCAGAAAGACTGCTGCCAGGATTCAAATCTGAAACTTGCAAGAAAGCAGTGCCACCAACCGCACCACCATGCAGCTCTAATTAATTTTATTTTTTTGTCAAATAGATGAAAAAAAAATTTAGAATACATGAAAATGTGTTTTACCCCAAATTGTCCAAGTGATCCCAAACTTTGAAACACCGTTAAATATTGTTAACAACCATAGATAAAATGCTTGATGTTTGTGATTTCCCTTTGACCGTAAAACACCAGAAAAGGTGCCAGAAAATCAGATCGCAACCCAAGACACTTGCAGGACCAGTATTTTTAGGTCCAGTCTGCAACTTCTGTTTTAAACTGCCAATAAATAACAAAATAACCATCATCATCATTGTGTGTCTGTGTGTGTGTGTGTGTGTGTGTGTGTGTGTGTGTGTGTGTGTGTGTGTGTGTGTGTGTGTGTGTGTGTGTGTGTGTGTGTGTTATCAGAGATCCGTCCAAATGGGAGGTCATGGATGTGGAGCATTTGGGCAGACTGGTGTTTGCCCTCTCAGCAAAGCAGATTAACTCCATTCCTCTGGTAAGCATTCACCGTGGCTTTAGTTTGCACTCAGGTTTCCTTCTGCCAACACTTTTTTGTCCTGCTGAGCAGACAGTGTTGAATAAGGACATAGTGGAGCAGGTCCTGGCGGGTCAAAGGCGCTGGCAGGACAGCGTGGTTGGTGAGGTCTGTGTCAGCCGCTGTACAGACCAGAATTACCACAGGCAGCAGACTCAGATCCTCCTTCGAGGGATTGTGAAGGCACGGAGCAGGAGGACCAAAGGTTCAGTACATGCAACATCTAATTTGTTAAACACAAAATAACCACGATCACACTCCTGAATGCATCTTCGCTGCTTGGAGCAGTGCCGGTTCCAAGTTGTGCAGACATCAGGGGAACATTTCCTTCTGCTTGGACATCCACTCAGCTCCGCCGTATGTCCCTGGACGAGCTGAAGGAGTGCATGGAGGTTTTGGGTCAGGACTCGTCCCTGAGCTCCGAGCAGCGGCGGTCGCTGTGGGGGAAACTCAAACAGGTCAGGAACACATTTACAACGCTCTGTGCTTTTTTTTAGCCCCATGGGATCTGCACCCCCTACCAGCATGTTCTGTTATGTTGATTATACAGACTCTATGTAGGTCAGTCAGCATGACCTCATCACCTCAAAGTTCCCTAGAGGCTGATTTGTGCTACTGCAGTTCTCAGTCCCCCCACCCAGGCTTATCTCATCATAAAACACAAAGAAATCAGAAATGCGTCATATAAACCACAATTTGGAGAGTTTTGTCATTTTGGAAAATACTTTTAGAGATAAAAACGTTAGAAGCGCAATATTTGGGCAGTCCAGTTGTGGCTGACGTGTTTTATTGTCTGAACTATAATTTCTTTATTGGATCCAGTCCTTCAGTCCTGTGAGGGAGCTGAGAGCGGATCAGGTTCTGGAGCTGGGATCAGTGCTGACAGAGATGGGAGACAGGGAGCTGCAGGAAACAAACCTCACTCATCCAGCTGTGTTAGCACATCTGGGCACGCTCACACAATGGAGTCCTCAGAAGGTAACTTTAGTTTTCATTGGGCCCTTTCCTGAGTAGTTTAAGGTGTTTTAGATGGTCTGACCCCACAGATGAGAGCGGTGGTTTTAGGTGTGATGCGCAAATGCAGACTGAAGGCGGAGCACTTATCGTTTGTTGATCTGGCAACATTTGGTCATCTGCTCTGTGGTCTGTCCTCCTCTGAGATCAGACGACTCGGCCCCTACAACCTCAGGTCAGTCGGACCGTTTATTCATCACTTGTAACATCACACTTGTTCTGTGTGTTAGAAACAAAGCCACAAAACCAGGCATGTGACTGAAGCATGTCAGTAATGTTACATCTGTATTTACCGCAAAGCAGAGGCGCCAACCTGCAAACGTGCAAACTCCCAGATGGCTGAAAAAAGATTTCTCAGCAAGACTAAATTCATCAGGACATTTGTTGTATCCTCGAGGGAGTCTTTAATCTTCTCTTTTAACCTGCAGTGTGGCTGTCGTCTTCCTGCGGGAGCTGTCCATGCCGTGCTCAGAGCAGCAGATGGAGGCACTGACAAGCCATTTGTCCAGACCTGAGGCCTTCGGCCCAGTCAGCGCTTGGGGCCCGGAGATTTTCACTGAAATCGGGACTCTGGCAGGTACGTTGGAGCATACTATCCCCGAGGGTGTAAACTGTATTCGCTCAAACTTTTAAAACAAACTTTTTCTTTTTTCAATGAGTGAGGATGGTTATGGTAGAGAATGGCGGCTCTTGGATGGATAGCTGCAATTAAAAGTATCCCAGAGGGTTTAAGTCTGAGGGGAGGAAGTGCTTCCACCCTTTTCATGAAATGGGAAACATTAATTACCCAACTTCAGTGTTTGTCTTGGTTTCCAGCGGGTCTCCCTGATATGGCTCTGTCGGCCCTGCTGCGGGAACAGGTGGAGGGGCTCATCCCTGAAGCTGTCGCCCTGATGTCACCCCAAAAAATGGCCGTGAGTTTCACCTGTCAGTTAAAGGCTGGATCACGCTGCAGTTTCACAGCTGATGGGACTTTGATTGATACTTTTTGAAAAAACACAAATTTGCAACTTAAAAAAAACTTTTGGTAAAACTTTACAATTAGGGTCCTTTTACAACATTACTTAGTACGTTATTAAGCATTAATAAACTGTTAAAGTAAGTATTAACAAATGATTAACTGTATTATGTAATGCATTACTAAGCAGACCCCCCCCCCCCTGGCCCTTTGTCCTTTAAGGATATTTAATAGTTAACAATAACAGTAACATTAATTAAGGGACCCTTTGTTTATTAACGTTTACTAATGTGCACTAACGTTACTTAGTGTTTCCCGGCTCAGCCAGAGCTGAAATTCAAGGTGATAAATAAAGTTAATTCTTATGAAAGTTTGGTTGACGCTTAATCTGAACGAAGTCCCGATCATAACAGCATTCTATAGAGATGGTGACGCTGGAAACGTCTACATCATTATTTCTGAGACAAAGGAAAAGGAAATTCTGATCTTCTTTTTCCCTCAGAGAGAAAAACATCCTTCAAAGATCAAAAACAAAGAAGCTAAAGTTATCAGCGAAAAACCTGCAGAAAAGTTTGGTATCAAAATAAACTGACTGAGGACGACATAAATAATGATACATTTAAAATCACACATGATCATCAGGAATTTAATTAAGACACATCTTAATTCTGACTTTAACTTTTATTAAAAGTTCTGAAAACAATGTGTCCAAAGTGAATTTGTGTCCATTTAAATTTTTTATTTTAAAATATGTTTATTCAGATATGTTTGTATTTATTCCTTTAAAATATTTATGGTTTTGGGGAAAAGACAAGGTAGTTTTTGCTTTACCTGTGAATTTTAATGAATAAAACAAAATCAAATGAGATTCTACCCTTCATTTGTGAGTGTGTGTGTGTGTGTGTGTGTGTGTGTGCTTGCATTTGTGTGTGTTGGTGTGTGTGCTTGCATTTGTGTGTGCTTGAATTTGTATGTGTGTGTGTGTGTGTGTGTGTGTGTGTGTGCATGCATTTGTGTATGTGTGTTGACACACACACACACACACACACACACACACACACACACACACGCGCACACACATTGATGTGTGTATATATATATGTGTGTGTGTGTGTGTGTGTGTGTGTGTGTGTGTGTGTGTGTGTGTGTGTGTTGCTGACAGGTGGTGTTCAGTGCGCTTCAGTTGTCGTGGCTGAGTGCGGAGCAGGCGTGGGCGGTCACAGAGGCACAGTGGGCAGAGCTGGACCCAGAACAGAGGCATGCTGTTGGTCTGGCTCGGTACGAGGGAGACGTGCTGCTGGAGCTCAGAGGTGTGACTTTAGCATACATCACACACACACACATGCAAATACACACACATAACAAACTTCCTGGTGTTGGGCCAGTTTCTGTGAAAGTTGTGTCTGCTGAGTTGTGAAAGTGATTTCTGTGTTGTGATAAATCAAACGTTCTTCTTCTCCAGGTAGAAACTCGGCTCCAACAGTCCTGAACAGCTTCTCTCTCTGCCCGCTGGCTCTGTGGCTTTTGTTACAACAATTAATTTAAAACAATGGAACAAAATTTAATTTTCCCTCTCACTTCCCCCTGCTATTACATTTGTACTTCAAATAAATATTTTGAACTTCCCCACTCTTCTGCGTGTCGGCCTCCTAATTTACATCTCATCTAATTGCTCTCTGCTCAACGTGATTCATTTTTATGAGAGTTATCGGCGAAGCCGAGTGTAAATCGGTGTGTGTTGCTGTTCTGTGTGTGAGAACTTTTTGTCCGAACAACATCAAGCAGCAATTTGGTCATGAATGTTTATGAGGGAAAATGAGTGGGCCTTCCTGCATTCACAGGAAAACCAAGCAAACAAGTTTGAGATGAGATTTTTCAGCCTTAACTCACTGTCTGGTACATTAAAATCCTTTAATGGACCTTTTGATATCTTCTGCAGCACTCTGTGACCTTTATGTGGATTCTCGTCCCTTTCTAGGATCTGTTTATTTCAATTAATCTGTAAAAATGATTCCTTTTTCATGTGTAAATCCTTTCAAAATCCAAAATCTGACCTCTAATTAAATAATCTGGCTTCTTGATGTGTTCCAAGCCACTTACTGAGAGCAATACAGGAGTGTCTATTATAGGAAGCACAAACTCATGTTCTCTAAGAAATTTTAAAATGCTTAGAGAAGATGTGCTAAAATAGGTCAAAACATTCAAATATCTGTCTTGAGATGTTTTTTTATTCCAACTGATTTCAACAATTCATCTGGATTTTTATTCTAAATGAATGCTGGACTTATGTTGGCTCCAGTTTCTAACCTTGTGAAGAAGATCTTGTGCCAAAACAGCTCAGACAGTTTAAAAGGAAATCAATTATATATATTTTTTCACTCAGCCCATTCATCCTCTTTCATTTTTTGGCACTGTGTCTCTGGATTTAATCGATCTGACAGAGCGATGACAGGAAACGAGGAGGAGCTGCATTAAAAAGATGCAACCCAGGTGCCCCTTATGCACCTGAACCATGCTGTGGTTTAGGGTTGGCTGCAGAATGAGTCCAGATGGTGCAAGTTTCTAATTAAAGTCAGGCTTGTTTGCTCCAAAACCTAGAACTACAGCAGCACTTTCCTGAGCTGGTACAGGTGAGGTGACAGGTTTATAAAGCTGGAGTCTGCAAGTTATGAAATGATCAGCTGAATAAGGATTTGTATTTTTCTGTTTTTTTTTTATTAGAAAATGTTGCATTTTGCAGCTATTCTACTGCCTTTTCTTTTAAATAGATGACGTCTATTAGTCAGAATTCCATTCTTGGAACAGCTGTGTCTTCCTCTGATGCATGTTTTGTGTATTTATGCAAATCTTTGTATTCATATTACATTTTAAATGCCTCTTTTTTGGATTTGTTGCTTCTTTTTGTGTGTGATTATTGACTGACTGCAGCAATTTTGTTTTTCTTTTGTCAATCTTCCATCTTTCTCTGGGCTTTTGTGGAAATTTATTGTCAGAGTACTTAGAGCTTATTTATGGCTATTTGGAATAAAACTCTCTCTCTTTCATCACCTGTTGTGCACAATTGCAATACTTTGATGGGCTTTTCAAATAGAAATATTAGTCACTATGTGGGGAAACTCAGAGAGACGGGGGCTTTCTGGCCTTGGACATGTGCCCGGTAAGCCTATTTATAATCCTCTCATATTGGCAACAATGTCCTCAATCAGGATGACGTTTACTGGCATGCGATCAGCTTACTGGGCATTTACTTCCTGTTTTTTCCTGCAATAAATTACCCTCTTCGTGGTTGGCATCTGCCAGCTTCAGAGTCTTGCTGTCTGTGGGTTCCTGCAATACCGTCAGTGACCAGAAGGCGGGGCTGTGGCAGCGCTAGCGCTCTGAGTAGGTGTTGCTCAAAGGTTATGGCAAGCGGGTTTATCATATAACATGTAAGACTACAATAGTTCGGTCGTTTGTGAAATTTCACTTGCGTTATTTCCTGAAGATCAGCATTCGCCCAGTCCACAATCAACATTAATTTTAATACAAATCATACAGCTAAGCCCCGGATTCCTATGAGAACTGTGTTTATGTCTAGACATGGTGTTTATCTCAAAAAGAACCAATGATAAAGAGAGAAATCACATTTCAGTTATCAATAAAAAATAAACACGATACGTTTTTAAATAAGTGTATAAAATTGAGATATCTTTGCAACATTTAGGAAATAATAAATTAACAATTGTTGATCAGTGAAGAACAGGCAACTTGCCTCTCATCGGCTGACAGCCATAGGACCACGAACAACACCCTCAACTGATTAGAGTGGGTAGACTTATGGAAACAAGAAATGCAATCTATTGTTAAACATTTTGGGTATCTTAATTATAGTCAAAATAAGAACAGCCAAAGTCTAATCTAAGAAACTGCTTTAGTGACTTAGTGCAGAGTAATTCAAACACACAAAAACAAACATGCCTTTCACAAACAACATGCAAATGACATGCAAAAATATAAAAAGTGGTCTGACAGACTGATTACAAATTTGCATGTTCAGTGAGTATGTGTGCAGATGGGGTATCCAAGACCTGCACAACATCTGCACTATGCTGAGCAAAGTAAAATAAATAAATAAATAAAAAATACAAAAAACAAGATTTTCTATCATTTGTTTGCAGCGATACACAAGTAGAATTTTGGGTAAAAGAAAAACTGAGGAGTAAAAAAAATGCTGTCCAAAATCAAGAATTTTAGGTCTTTTTCCTGGAACCACATTGCAGATGAAAGTAACAAATTTATTTTCCTTACTATGTATGAAATAATTTCTAATTAAAACAAAGCAGCTATTTCACGTTATTACTCTACATCAGTGGATCCTGCCAGGGATGATGGGCTTCAAGAAAATAAATCACAAGTAAAGATTTTTTTTAAATGAATTTATTCAAAATAAAAAATGGGCCCACTGTCAGTCATGGATCATAGAATCATCATGCCCCCCATTAGAAGACCCCCACTCAATGCCTTAAAAATAAATAAATAAATAAATAAATAAATAAATTTATAGTTTTTTTTCTGCATCAGTGTTGCTCTACCTTGATCCTGTCAAAATTAAATGTTCATTTCCTGTAACGGATAGCAACAGAGAAAAAAACGTCACCTGATTTGAATCTGACGAAAATGACATCTTTCTCAGTACATCTCACTACATCTCATTACATCTTACATCTTCCCAAACTGCAAAGGTTGGTCAAAACGTGAACTTGAAATGGTTATCCATGCTTTTATCTCCTCTCGTCTAGATTACTGTAACACACTCTTCACATGTTTTAACAAAAAAGCGCTTGATCACCTTCTGTCGGTCCAGAACTCTGCAGCGAGGCTCCTAACTGGAGCAAACAGCAGAGCACACATCACTCCTATTCTAATGTCTCTGCACTGGTTACCCGTTAACTTTAGAGTTCATTTTAGAATCCTGACTATAACATGGTCAAGCTCATCCCTATATTACTGAACTATTAAAGACTTATGCTCTAACCCGAGCCCAAATGACCACACACCAAAACCTTCTAGAAGTTCCAAAGACCAGAAATAAAAGTCGAGGGGATGCTCCTTCCAGACTGTTGCACCTCAGCTTTGGAATGATCTTCCTTTATCCTTATGTAGTCTGGACACCTTTAAAAAACTGCTTTACCTAAACCTTTATTTTGTTATTTTCAACTCAAATTTGTAATTTTCCATCTGTTTATGAAATTTTATAATTTGATGACTTTATTTTTTCTGATGTAAATCTATTTCTGTTTAGATATCATTATGATTTTATGACTTTGTTTTAATTTGTTTTTATTTATGTGAAGCACATTGTGAGCACATTATGATTCTATGTCTGTGATAAGTGCAATATAAATTAAATGTACTTACTTACTTACATTTTTGTTGTAAAAAGGAATATTCTCGCCCCCTAGTGGCGTTGTGAAATTTCAGTATTTGTTAAAATAATGTTAACATATTAGGGACAGAGAAAAAGTCCCTTGGAAAACAAGTTTTAAAATGTCCAAACGAATTATTTCCAAAATCTGTATTTGATGTGAGAACGATTAAATGTTAGAACGGCCTGCCATACATGTCTCCACTTTGTCCACGGCCGTGACGTGTTTCCTGGGGCTTGTACTGACCACTCAGCGGTACACCGGAGGGGTATCATGAGTGTTTATCACCAGCAGTTGTCTTTAAGACATTCTTCAGTCGCTCCATCGTGTCGTCCTTGTCGGTTTTAACACCGTAACACGAGACAACAACAAGTAGGGCCGAGCAGGATGTAAAGGGAAGCTGGTAAGTTCAGCCGCTGATATAAGTTTACCGTCTGCTTTAGCTAGTATTTTGACTTGTTCTGGTCTTCCGAGTTGACCCAGCTCGCCGCTCTAGAACCACCGAAAACCCCGACACAGTCATGAGGCTTATGTCGCCTTATTTAGCCACGTCTTGTCAGTCTGTGTTCTCCCGGAGTGGAAACCACTCACGAGCTAACGTTCGGTTTCTGTGGTTGTTCCTGCGGAGCGGAGACAGGAAAGGGAAAAAAGCTCCCGACCGGGGCTGTGTGTAACAGAATCCGATCGGTTCTGGCTCGGAATCTCCGTCAGAGGTTGGATGAAAGGAGGGGACGAACCTAGGGGAGGCACCTGTGAGACTAACAAAGCAGGTCGGCGTCAAGTTTGCGTTAATCTGTACGCGGCGGTACAGTTTCAGACATATCACTCAAGCGGAGGAGTCGTCATCGCATCAGCTCCAGCCGCAGTTCCGAGCCAAACTATGACTTCGTGTTGTTGCCACGGACTCTGCGAGTGAACGAGGTGAGTCAACCGGCCATCATCATCATCAGCTGGAGCCCCCACAACCCTCCAACTTCAGCTCGTAAACATAAATATATCTGGCGTTCAGAGGCCTGACAGAGAAGTTCTGCTCTTCCTCTCGTGCTTGTTTCTGCTCCTGACTGACGTTTAGTGCTCCGAACCTCGCGAGGATCGTAGGAAACGTTTGTTTTGAGCGTGAATGTTAAATATTAACCCATCGGTGATTCTACATGAAAACATTTCAGACCTTTGGTCTGACGGTGAACAGCTGTTACCTGAATACTTGCAGCAAATGTAGCAAAATCATATAAATATACAGACAAAACATAAAAATATCGTTACACAATTGGTTTCCCTGATCCTGCGTTTTTGTAAAAATAAACATTTTCTCACATAAACTATCCCCCCCCCCCCCCCCCCCCCACACACACACACACAATTTAGGGCATTTATTTACAGAAAATATGCCAGTAAAATAAAAATTCAATGCAAATAAAACAACTTTCATGCGTCTGACTTAGTTTTAAGGCTTGTGGTCATCCGTCTTCCTTTGGATCACAAATGCAGCCATCTTTTAGATTTAATTCATAATATTCACTCCGACCACAGAGGCACTAATGTCATATTTGTTGTTTTTGATTTTTACCTCGTTGGTTCAGCAACAGGGTTATCTGGTGAAAACTGGTTATCATAGTGAAACTCCAGTGGCATGTAAAGGCATGTTTGTGCTTCAATAAATGTTTCCTGGAACGAGGGCTGTGGACAGTATCCCAGCATTCCCAAATAAATTCCATTAGAAAAATGGAAGAACTGAGGCCTTTCCCACAAACGGCTACTTGTAGTCTTTGAGTTATTGTTGGTTGCCCCAGGATTTAAAACGGTTCTTGAAAAAGTGCAAAATTCAGTGGAAAGTATTACTGGAGTGTTCTTGCGATGCTTTAATGTTGAAACGTCTGACGGGATTTTGAGGAAGTATTTATGACAACTGCAGAGCAAATGTATCTGGAAATTATGTGATCAGACGTGATGTGTGAGAGCTGACGCTTCTGCCATTAGGGCTAATTATTTACAGAAAATGACTTTGCTGACAAATGATGGCTCAAATGTCACAAAAATCTTCGTTTCATAGCGGAGAGAACCAATGATCGACTTGTTCAAGCATTCAAACAACTGGGAGTACAAATCACGGATTTCATTTGTTACATGTTGAATAGATGCTTTAATATTTACATTTTTAGATTTTAAAATCGATAGATCCATCCTCTAAAGATGCTCACTGTGTTTTTATCGAGTTTTTCATTTCTCTTTAATGTGTGCTAACAGGTGCGTTCCCCTAACTCCCACAGTGCCACCCTTTAAAAGGAATTCAATCCAAGGCGGGCGTTATCAAAGTCTTTATTTAGAAATGTTTCCCTGGAAAAATTAGAGCTACTGTGAGGCTTCTTCTAAGTGTTGTGACTGTTGTGGTGAAAGCTGTGTGTGCCCTCCGTAGGTTTCCGTCGGTGCCGGCTTAAACTTCCTGCTGGTTTGGGCTGCTGTCATTAATGATGCCTCGTTTCTGGTTGTAATTTAGATTCTGATCTGTAGCCTCACACGCTGTTGGAGACAGGACACCAGTGTGTCTTTAATTTCCTCTATCAGTGTTTTTGTAATGCTGACTTGCCATAAGAGAATTAAGATATGGCTTTTTTTTCCCAGTCTCCAAACTGTTTCTGTAAACAAAGCACTGATTTAGACACATCTAGCAAAGAGCGGAAATGCAATTTGTGTGAAATACTTGATATATTCATAAATTATTAATGCCTTGTCACTTCTGTCCCCTGATACACTCACAGCTTATTATCTCTAAAGACCTCTCAAGGGTATTTGCCTACCTAGAAAAGAGTTCACATGTGTCACGACAGGAGACCCGGCTGTAATTGCACTCTCAAAAAATGTAACTCGAGGTCATTCTGGTTAAACACTTAAAAGTTAATTTTCTTATATGATTAGAATCTAAACCGTAAACTAACCAGATGTTTTCTACGTTGTACCGATGACTCCCATAATGAGGACACTATTATCCTTCAGGGTTTGATGATACTTGGCTAATTATAAAAGTTTTTAACCTCATTGCTGTGGTCCGACACATGGGAACGTTTACATTAGTGACCTTAAAAACGAAGCCCATCTCACTGATTAGCTTCCTCCTCCTGCGAGCCGTGCAGTAGTTGAATATTGACTCTTGTGGGTTCTTTGAGCTGCCGTTAAAGAAACTGAGTGGCTGAGCGATCTGATGAGGTCACAGCCGTCTGCCGTTAAAAGTCGCTGCGCATCTGAAAATCAAACAAACCTCTGGAACACTCACACTCTGTTTGCTTGTTGCGTCTAAGGACAAAGTTGAGTAAGTTTAACACACACATTTCTCTCTGGGTTCCTCTCTTTTTAACTTCTTTTTTTCCCCAAACGTGTCTATGATCTTAATTTTGGCTCATTTTGAACCTCATTAACACCAACACGATGTTGGTTTCATGTTGACAGAATGAAGATGAATTTTTTGAGTCTTTAATAACCTTTTCTTTTGTTTTTCTTAGTTTAGGCAGATTTATTTAGTGTGTTTTATTTCCGGAATAGGAATGACCCGATGAAAGGAGGTGCAGGTCGTTAAACGCTTTAAAACACGTCACTGACCCCTGGCTTTGTTCTGTTTGGCTACAAGTGATGTATAGTTCTTGTGTTATTTATAAGATGTCTCTTTTGTCTGCCTGTTTCTGAGCTCGCCAGTAATAGCTGAAATGGATTATCAGCTTGTCACACCAGCCAGGCCACATCTAGACCTGTTTGACGGCTCCTTGTTTCCACACGACCCGCTGCACCGAGTAGGCGTTAAAACGTAAACTTGTCTGATTGTTTAAAAACCTCAACAGGATGCGTCTGATGCTTGCCTAATTTATGAAGTGCTATGGTACTATTGCACACATGCAAATAATATTGTGATTATATGAGAATGACAACAGACGAATTTGTTGATCTGTTTTGTGTGTGAGGTCTGACGGCGAAGTTGATGAAGCTGTCGTGACCGTACGGATTGGCACGCAGGAACGCTCTTAAGACATTTATTGAAATTATCAGGTGAAAATCAGACCTCCATTATTGCATGTATTAATTAAAATAGTTATACAATCTTTCCTCACATTTGCAAGTCAAGTTGAACAACAACAGCAAGCCTAATGGAATGGTAGCTGTGGTTTTATGAAACCAAACATGTTGTCAGACTTTGCAGCGGATGTAAAAGTGACAAAATACCAAAAAGACTTTTTTTTAAAGAGCCCTACAAAATGACACCGGCTTCTCTAAGCACATCACTCCTGCACTGCAACCTGCTGTCCAGGGAAATCTAGAGGAGCTTGTTTGTTCACCCCGACTCCAACACAGTACACTCAGGAGTATGTCGCTATAAAACCTGGAAAAGATGAGCACCTCCAACTCATCATGGACTAGAATCAGCAGATTAGACACATAAACCTACACACAGCAAGAAACACACAATAGGAGCGCTGTACTTGTCTCTAGTCCTCTGAGGGAGACCGTAGAGTTCGGATGGTCTGAATGGATGCTGCTGCTGCTGCTGCTGACAAAACAAGGGCTCTAAGGCTAAAGCATCAGCAACAGCTTAAACAAGCTAATGTTTGTGCCTCTGAACATTTCAGAATCTCCATCCTCTTTATGATTTTAGATGTTTATTTGCAATGGGAAAATAAAATTTCTCGCAGCATTCTGAAATTATGACTGTCAACATTTTTCTGTGCTGCTCTTTATGCTCTGTCCTTGGTTGGTGCCATTCGGAGGCTGCCACTGCTGCCCGAGGCGTTCACCCTCAAGAGGTTGCTTCACGCTGCACAAAATAAAATCAGCTCGGCTGTTATCCTCAGCATCCAGGGTGTGGTGTAGTTTTCCAAACACACTTCTCCACCTCTGCTGCCAGCACTCTACCCAAGTGTTCTTCTGTAGTGAGCTTTATCGACTGCGTCCTCCCAGGAGAGCGCAGGGACCCAGATTTGCTGCTGTGTTTGACCATGACATCAGGTCGCGCCTTGACGGCATGCTCTGAGCTTCCTGTGGGATTATTAAACGCCTGTTGACGCCTGCTCGATCTCTCTTTAGGGGGAGACGAGCTGCTTTCTCAAACACATCAATTTAAATAAATGTATATTTGTTTCCTCGAGGTAGAATAGGGCTGGGCAATAAATCAAAAATTTATCGTTATCAAAATTTCTGACTCTTATCGAGAATTGTTCCCATAACGACAAACTAGATAATAAAAACATTTAAAGGTGTGTGTAGATTGGCACCATTCATGTCCCTTTAAGAAGCTGTACCAACTTGAGTCGTGTAAAAATGTAACTCAAGTAATACACGTGACAGCTCCATCTAGTGGACAACTTTTCTGTACATACCTGTAGTTATCGAGGTGAAATCCTCAATAAATCATGATATTGGTTTTAGGCCATATCGCCCAGTGCTAGTGTAGAATTTAGTTATCATTTTTCCTAAAATAATATTTGTGCTTCAACATTTTCTTGTGATTTGTAAACAAAGAACAATATTGTTTTAAATGTAATTCTATAGATTGTGGTTACTGCAGTGTTGAAAATAATAGGGCTGTCGCGGTAACCGCAAAAATGAAATATCGCAATATGAAGAAGCCCACCGCGCTGCATCATGGGCCACCGCGATTACTGAACTTGGTTCAACTCAATGATGCATGTTGAGAAGGATGGCTGCACTGGTATCAAAACGAAACGTTACTTCGCTCCTTTGGGAGCACTTTGGTTTTCAGTACGTCAGCTGCTGCGCAGCCAGAGTCCTTGGCCGAGACAGAGCTGCCACCAGCGGCAAAAAAAAAAAAATAAACGCTCGGAGACCTGCTGAAGTCCCGGACAAGCACTGCTTCTGCAACCGTCCCGAAGAGAGTTTGAGCCGAGCTGGAGCTCACTCGCTACCTGCAGGAGGAATGCATCCACCCTAAAGAAAACCCCCTGACATGGTGGAGCAACAAGCGGGAGAGATTCCCTTTGCTCGCCAGAGTCGCACGCAAGTACGTGTGCGTTAGTGCAACGAGCGCACCATCCGAGAAGGTTTTCAGTGTTGCTGGAAATGTTGCCACCCCTCTCAGATCCTCTCTCAAACCGTATATAGTTAACATGCTGGTTTTCCTTGTGGGTAACAAGGACGTGACCGAGCTATAAATCACCGTCATTCGTGTGTGTGAGAGTGAAATGATAGTGCCCCGCGCCCGGTACATGTAATTTTTTATGCTTGATTTTAAACAACTAAACAAAATGGGGACTTGTTTCTTATTTGTTAGATGCTGCAGCCAAATTTGCATTTAAAAGTTTGACCTCCTGAATTTTGTTGTTTTTAAGTTCAGTCGGACTCCGACTGTCGGAGAAACAAACGTTACTGCGATCTGTGTTGTTACTGCCCTTTGATCTGCATTCAGTAAAGTGTTATAAAAGAAGGCACGGCAATTTTTAACCTTTTTTAAATGTGTAAACATTATGTTTAGATAGTGCTGCAATAAAAAAAGTGCTGCAATAATATCGCACACCGCAATATTAAGCCACCCTGAATCACCGCAGGAGGAATTCCTCAACCGCGACAGCCCTAGTAAATAATCTTTTTTTATTATAGCTTTGTGCACCCTGAGTCATCTTTGATTGTCCAAAAACACCGACTTCCTGAAACTTGTGAACTAGTTTGTTTTAACGCTGTGTTTTTCCCCTTCTTTTCTTCTTGTCGTTTCCTCCTAAGTGAGCTGCAACTCCCCCCGTCTTCATCTCCCCGTGCACCTGCATGTGTTGTGAGCAGCTCCAGCCTGCTGGAGAGCTGCTTCACTTGGTGACTGTGTTGCGTTAGGAGAACCCATGGCTTCTGGACCTCCATCTCCCTCCTTAGGCCGCAGGCTTGGGCTGCTGGAGCTGCAAATCGGGGCTGTGCTGGTGTTGCTTGGTTTTGGGCTGGGATCGTCACTAGGTCAGAACGTCTACACCAACACGTGGGCCGTCCACATACCTGAAGGTCTGGAGGAAGCCGATCGAATTGCCAGTAAACACGGATTCATCAACCATGGACATGTGAGTAATCCACCTATTTAGTCCTTTTCTTCGTAGATAGAAACAGAAGCGCTTATTGGGGTTGAAACAAAGGTAACGTGGAAGTGAGACCAGTTTGGTTTTGCCTATGCAAAGAAGGAACTCACCTGAAACACCTGGTAAAGGAAGATAAACACGACATAGTGTGTCACCACTGTGGGGCTGTCGTTTTACTTAAAACTATCATTGTGCTCTTTTAAAACCCTCCTGAAATACTTATGAATGAATTTTCATTATTTATGTTCGTTGTGTTTGGACTTGCTCCCAGCTCCAGTTTGTTCTCTTTAGCCCACTTTTCAATCCAGACACAAAAAAACTCAACTTTCTTTTCAGTACATGAAATGAAAACCAGCATTTCTTTTCTTTTTGTCCTTTTGTGTTTGCTCTGAAACCATAATACTCCAAAGTTTGGTTCCACCTCTTTACTGTTGTGAAACAGATCTGTTTCACAGGTGTGCCTCTGGTGGTATTATCTAGCTGTGGTTTTGCTTAGACCAGAATGTTCTTCTCTTGTGTGCCGATCACAACAACAGTGTTCCTTCCTCATTGTTTGGAGCATTTTGTCTTTTCTTTATAAAGTGAATGCTTGCCGATGAACCAGTTTCACAGAAGTCCAAAGATGTATTCAGAGACTTGTTTCATTCTGGGAACAGATCAAAGGAGTTGACATTTAAATGAAGGTCGTGCTAAAATAAAATAAAATAATAAAACTGCAAAACATCTGTAGGATTGTACCCCAAAGCATATCACAAGGATATAAAATGTAGGTTTTATATAAAAATAATTTTATTGTGTACAGAAAAAAAACAACACAAAAGCTAAATATTAAAATTTAAATAATCAGTTGTATTGCTATATATATTTAGTTGGCATACTGGCGTTTGGAGGTTGTCGTCAAAATGGGATAAAAGTTTTTGTTTCTGAGCTCAGGTAATTAGAGATGATCTTTTCCTGTGTCCGTCGGTGACCTTCTCTTCCATCGTGATTTCCTATTTGCCTTCAGTGGAAGCCGATCGTCTGCGTCATCATTACACATCATCTCCTCCTTGCCCTAAACGGTAATCTGGGAGTTAAGTTATTATAGTCTTAAAAATGTTAGAAATCACAATTGAGCTTTATTAAAAACATTCTTCTTTTAATGCAAATCTAACCTTTTTCTTAAATAAATGCTCATTTTTAAAATCACAAATTTGCAAATTGTGTTTTAAAAATAATTAACTTGCAGCCTAATTTAAACCCATCTTCTGGGATTGATCTTAATGCAGTAGCTGAAGCATTTAGCCTGGCAGCAGGCTTCACCATATGGCCTGATTGGTCATGGCTGGGAGTGTTTTTAGCGCTTTGCATCATAGCATAACCGCCTAATGAGTAATCAAACACATCTAAATCCTTTAACTATGTATCTGCTGAGGACAGCAAGGAAGGCAAACAAGGCAATTACACCCAGGTGCTCAATAAATGGCACCCTGGAGAAGGATTTCTGTGGTTTGGTCTCAGTCAGCAACTTGAGGACCAAATTTAATGATATTTTGTGAAAGTGAGCTGTCATGTTTGAGCAGAGCTGGATTGATAGTCTGGTCTTGAAACAGCATCTAAGATCGAAATGCAGGAAAAATCCCCGGCTCTTCCAACAAAGCAGCTTTAATCAGATCTCCAGGAAGATGCCGAGTAAAGACTTGAGCTCTTAAGGCTGAAACATGAAAACAGATGTTCTAGGTTTTTATTCAAGCCATTATCCCTCATATTAATCTTGCTCTATAACTTTGATCTGTCCTGCATGCTTCATTTAAAAAAAGTGGGCTAATTTGACCCAGCTCTGACCAACTACGCTGCCTCACGCACAATGGGTGCTGTGGAGGAACCACCCATGCCAGTCTTTGTGTTGCTGATGAATGCCTCCATTACTGGGATCCTGATTCTATTGGCTACTTCTCTTGGCTTTATGTGGCGCAAACTTGACATATCTAAGAGAAATTCATGGAAGAATAACAGAAACTGCTGCGTGATTGTGCAAGGTGTTCCCCGTTTCGGGCAGCTGATGTGGTGTTGGAACAAAGAGAAGGATGAAAAATTCACAAGACAAAAAAGTTTAGATGAAGATCGATTTGGTTTTCCTGCTGTAGTTGTTTTTGTTACAAAGTGCCAACATGGTTTAGAGTTGTAACCAGTCAGGAGATGCATGAATCGACTGTGTAACACTTTTAAGGGAAATTGATCGTGTGTTTGCTTGTCGTCAGCTTCTAGCGCCGGCCTCAGTTTAGAAATATAAGCAAAAGCATCATGTCACCTTTTAGTGTAAATGACACGAAACGGGACCATCTGTCAGATTCAGACAGTTCTGTTTAGTCCATGGTCTGGTATTGATGGATGCTCAGTGTTCATTAACTTTGAAAGCTTAGCAATATAATCACAGGTGATGCCTTCAATAAAGATGCTCTGGTGCTCTGCCCTGATGGCATAACATTTCTGTTGATTGATTAAAATGAAGCCATTAGATTACAGATGGGGGACGAACAAATCTGTTAAGCTTCTTCACCCACAGCTGATGGGATGTGGGAGCTGTGCTGCTGGTTAAGCATGACCAGGTGTGTGTCTGCTGGAACTGGGCAGAAGAGCACCAAATAGGAACGTTTTATTGCTCTCAATGGGAAATTGTGTCACATTCATGCCCTCTTTGCTTACTCTACACAGCATCCACACAGCCTCATCCCCACAGACAGATACATGTGATTCTCCACCGGGTCTCTGCCAGTACACATTTTTAAAATCATTGTTACAACACAGCAAATCAAACAAAATTATGCCGAGATATTTCATGAGGCCATAAAGATTAGCTGCAAAATGACTTAAATTATTACAGTGTTCACATGCTACTCCAGATTATGTCTGCTGCTAAAGATTTATTTTTAAATGACAGATTTGCTACTTAATTAACTTTTAAAAAGTTCAGAAATAATGCAGGAAAAATTGCCGTCCACTGGTCCGTTTTGTTGATGATGTTGAGGTTACAACACACTTGAAGTCCTTTTTGTATTTTTCTTGTCACTACTGATCAATAAAGCTGAGCTGGCCGCTGTTTGATGATGCAGAAACTCAGAAGAACTGTTGGGTGATGGCGGCAAATTACATAAAAGTCTGATGCACTAAGTGTCAAACTGTGAGGATTAAGGTCCGCCTCTTTGCTCTGCCAACATGGAGTTGGTTTTAAACTTAACACGAACAAGCACTGGTCTGGGAACAGATTACACCGTTCTCTTTGACAGCATTTCTAGATTAGATGGGCATTTTAAACAAGGGGAATAATTAAAACTAAGTTGGAGTAATAAAATTAAGAAATGGCTGACTCGCATCGCAGTAAACGGGCTTTAAAACCCTCTCGTATCTGCTGATGGTTATTTTGCATTTAACAGTCCTCTTTCTTACCCACATCATCAAACTCGGACTCGACCTGAAATGGCGGTGCGCGTCGGGTCCTGTAGCGCGTCCATTAGGAAGGTATTTAAATAAATAGTGGAATGGGAATACAAGGATGGCTATTACGAGTAAGATGGGATCCAGTAATGAGAACTGACACAAGTGAATAAACGCTGAGGATCATTATAGTGTGATTTTCATTATGAATAGGATCAGATGTCACAGATCAAAGGTATAATAAAAAATGAATAGATTGGAGTCAGAGCTGCAACAAAGGGACCCGTTTTCATTTTTTGATCAGCTGACTGCTGGTGAAACCACTACTGTGGCTGATTGTAGGTCACATGTGTTTTGAAACTGCAGCTTTGTGGCCCTAGGCTTTCACCATCTTTCTCATCTTGCTTGCAGCACATAAAGGTTCTCATTCTAATGATGAGTCCTGAAATGTGAAAGCTGAACTCCCCCTGTGCTGTGTAGAGAGACAGCTTTCTGGTTGCGTCTCGTTCTGGCTGATTAACTGCTTTAACATCAAAAGTATTCTTTAACTTTGAATCTTGAAACGTAATAACCGTCATGAGGGAGTGTTGGAGAGCGGGTGTCCAAAAGAATCTCTTTTCAGAAATGTTTTTTTTTTTTTTCCATTTCCTGCTTCCTGTTAGTGCTGAAATGTAAATCAGTCTGTTTTTAGAATGGGAATAAAATATATGCCTTGTTTTTCAGAGAAGCAGCATTTAAAGTTTGTCAGATAGAAGTTTTGATAAAACCTTGGGTATTTTTGCAGCCTTCAAAGTAGAAATGCATTTCTCAGAAGGCTTGTGCTTCTCTTTGGGTTAGGAGTGGTTTCTGATGCCAATGGCGGATAAAAACCTGTATTCATATCGCTGATCTATTTACAGCCCAACTGTGTGCGCCCTCCGCATGTAAGAGCGGTTTGTGTTTAGAGCACTGTGCCCTTACTGTACTCCATGACACCATCTCGTCCAGTTTCTGCTGTCTTAACTTCCTCATTTCCTCCTCTTTTGCCTAAGTGGTTTATTCATTTTATAATGAAGGTTATTAATATTCTGTTATACCAGATGAAAGAATGTAGCAGAAGAGATGAAGCTCCTGTAACGTTGTGATGAAGCAGACAACACAACGCTCTATTATCAGTCAGTTAGCACACAGCGCCTCACTTAGGCGTAGTGGCTGTGAGAACTTTTCTTTTATCTGACTCTGTCTTCTGTTAGCTCACAAGATACGGAGAGGCTTCTAAGCTTTCTTCTACACTCTTACGATTTTTAATTTTTAATTTTACATGCTTGTTTAAAGCACATCATCCCTCCCTCGGGGCTAAGAAGTGCCAGATATTAGAGTTATTAGATATTTTCCTCCAAATGCTCTAATGCTGACATTGTTTATATACTAGAAGATTAAAGAACCACCCCCACCTCCCCCTACAGTAACATTAACAGGTTTATTAGAAAGTTTTAGTTGATTTAAGTGAAGTTCATGATTTGTGTAATATTTTCAAAAGTAAATTGGTGGTGGCATCAAAGTTTCCCCAGAGGCTTGATGCTACCATTTTT